AATAATATTTATTGTACAGCACCTTGTTCTCCAACAGACACACACACACAACCACTCAGACAACCCCCTGACACATTTGTAAGTCCCCACTTGCAACTCAACTTGAGATTACCACCACACTAGATTTCGCAAACAGAGTGGTAGACATTTGGAACATGTTAGGTGAGAAGAAGGCAGAGGTCAAAACCGTCGGTAATTTCAAAGCATTATACGACAAAAAGTACTGGGGGAAGATAGGACACCGTGAGTGTAGCTCTCATCCTGTAACTACACTTAAGTAATTACTTAGGTAATTACACTAATGGAAAAGGGGACTTTAATAACTTTAGTAATATTTTTGTTACTAGAACACAATACAAACAATATTACAAATATTCTTAAAACAAAATGGCCTTCCTATTTGTACAATATTAAAATATGGATAGACAGAAGGATAAAGTATTGCTCAACGGTGTGGTGGTGGAGGCAAGAGGAAGGAGGGAAGAGAGGGGGAGGAGGAAGAAAGGGAAGAGGGGAAGGAGGAAGAGGAGGGAAGAGAGGGGGAGGAGGAAGAAAGGGAAGAGGGGGAGGAGGAAGAGGAGGGAGGAGGGGGAAGAAGGTTTGAGGAGGAGGGGTGGGGGAGGAAAGGGAGAGGGGGAAGAGGTGGCAGTGGAGAGGTGTTGGTGGCAGAGAAGCAATGGCTGCAGGAGGCAGCAGGGGAGAGGGGGAGGAGGCTGCAGGGGAGAGGCAGAGGCAGCAGGGAGGAGAAGGAGGGGGGAGGCAGCAGCAGCAACAGAGAGGAGGCGGCAGCAGCAAAGAGGAGAAGGCGGCAGCAGCAAAGAGGGGAAGGCAGCAGCGAAGAGGAGTTGGCAGCAGCGAAGAGGAGTTGGCAGCAGCGAAGAGGAGTTGGCAGCAGCGAAGAGGAGTTGGCAGCAGCGAAGAGGAGGCAGCAGCAATGAAGAGGAGGCAGCAGCAGTGAAGTGGAGAAGGCAGCAATGAAGAGAAGGCAGCAGTAAAGAGGAGAGAAGCAGGCAGCAGTAAAGAGGAGAGAAGCAGGCAGCAGTGGAGAGGAGCAGGCAGCAGTAGAGAGGTGGTGGTGGTGAGGCAGTGGAGATGGAGGACATGGCAAAGGTGGTGAAATTGTAGTTGCTGGATGTGATGAGTAGGTTTATACTTCCGTCCTAATCACCACCTAACCATTCATACCCTCTCAACATATAACATTTTTATCATGAACAAATCCACAAGGGTCATGATGAGGGTTCGAACCTACGTCCGGGATGATGATCAGACGCGCCTTAGTCGATTGCGCCACGACATGTTAAAAGAATTGCAACCGGGAGTGCTACTGCCCTAACACGGATCCCGCAGCCTATCCGAGACACAAACCGGGGTTTTCACAAACCCTGGTTTATGTATCACGCTATTGTGATTTGTATGTGTATTTTCATCATATTTGTCATCTCTTCGATTCGATTGCATGTCTAGTTTCCTCCAATGTCGCTTCTTGTCCTACCTCTTATTAATTTAAATAGGCTTCTTTTATCCATTTTATCTACCCCCCTCCCAGATCTTGTATGTAGTTATCATATCCCATCTTAATCATTCTCTCCTCCTAGTACGACCGAGTTCTCTCAACCTGTGCTAATAGCCCAGACCTCTCAATTCTAGTATTACTCTAGTTGCAAGCCTCTCAAATTTGTATGGTCTCAATCCCTTTGAGATGTATTTTCTTGTCTCAATAAACATACTTGAACTTGTTTATATTATGTGGGCATGGGTCAATAATTCCTCTGGGATTCAGTAGTAGTCAGGAAAAGTGAAAAGTTCCAGTTTGGCAGCAGGATGCTGCTTCTGGAAACTTTCCTTTTTTAAAACTACTCATAGGCCAGTTGATAGAGCTTCAGCTGTATCGAAAAAAAAAATATCTGAATCTAGATGGCCAGTTTCGTGTATGCTCTACAGAATACAGAGCGCATGCAAAACTTGCCATCTAGATTCTGGGATTCTTTTTTTTTGTAATAATTATAGGTATAGGTATTGAAGAAAAGAATAATTTTTAGTGATGGGAATCCTTCACATACCACTAAAACATATCGTACATAATTTTTCCATTACTTGTCAAGGGCAAAGTGAAAATTTCATGCACTTTGTCAAGTGTTTCTTGTTCAGTTTGTTACACGATTACCTTCCATCCCCAAAACAAGTAAGCATCACCCACCTACCATGATATGGCAGCCATTATAAAATACTCCCTTACACTTACTACTTTGAGACTGGAATTACTGATTTTGAATTTGAGACTAGAATTATCGTATCTGAATTTGAGATTACGATTACTAACATTAGAGAGTTAAGTTTTCAATATTGAATTCAAGTATAAAAGCCATTATTCAGGACAAGACAATTACTGTATTTAAGATACAGTATATGCATTTCTCCAGGTTATCTAGATTTGAAATTGTCAAATTTGTATCCACTGATTGTGTCCAGGATTGTACCAACTGCATTCCATCCAGCACAATGTGTATCCAGATAATATTTAAACCATGGCTTTAGCTGTTAAATATGTAAGTAACCTCCACATAACCCTGGTCATTTATCAAATGTAAAATATTCTCCAGACAATGCATATACCTACTACAGAGATCCCTCACATCCTCATTAATTTAAAACATATGAGGAAGAATTATGCACAGGGAGAGCAAATATTGAAGATGATTTCTTAATATTTGAACCTCCATAGTACAGTACTTAAAAACACAACAATCACTTTCTGTGGTTGATTGTTCAATAAATCCCTGAACTATATGTTTAACAAATCTCTAACCCTGTCCATGGAGGACAGAAGAAAATGTATATATGCTGGTTAGCATTGTAAATGTGTGGCTACGTCTGTGGTAGAATATAATAATAATAATAATAATAATAATAATAATAATAATAATAATAATAATAATAATAATAAAAAAGTACTTCACTAAGCCATGAGTACAACTGTTATGTAAAGAATTATGTTAGTAAACAAAGCACTGCAACACTCCTGAGGTGTCTATGATGATATGAACTCTCATTACAGCACTGCATCTCCCCCCACCCTATGGTATAGGTTACATTTCTATACGTGGGTCTGTTGGTTATGTTGGTTAGATTCGCAAGATATAGTTCACCATTTTTGTTCATCATCGGCCACTCAAAAGGATGGGTTGAACTACCACCTAATGTACTTGGAGTATGGCTTCAATATTTTCTCAAAGCTACATCATATTTTTGAAATTTCATTGTCCAACAACACTAATGTTATAATTCCAACTTGCCTACTAATTCTGCACGTACTGTATGCTATTACAGAAAATGTGTCGTCATATCTTCTTACTCTTATTTAAAGCCCTTGGAATATCTATGGTACCGCAAATATTTCAGATTTTAAAATACATGTAAATTATTCTCTTCTATAAAACACACACACACACACACACCATTTATCTATATATCCTGAAAAAACCGTGACAAGCAAAACTGGGAAAATCAAACAAGGGTTTACAGGAGGAATAAAAATACATTCTGTAGCCCTCCAAAACTCCACTTCCTGGCTCGCTTTACTCAATAAAATGCTTATATGAGTATTAACACTTTATTTTCCCTTTACTTTCAGGTCATAAATGAAGTCCTGAATTCTTGGGATGTGCAATGTTTTAGAATTCCTAACTGTATGGGATGTGCAGTGTTTTAAAATATAATTGTTAAAAGTTTGTAAATTCTTTTGAATTATATGCGTGGGAGCCCAAAATACTGTACGAATGTAGTTGACTTGTGGATCATCAGATAATTTAAGTTTAATCTGCCTAATTTCAAGTCACATACACTTCAAAATTTGGTATAAAATTGTTTACTCGCATACCACAGGATGCTCATTCTAGAATAACACATGAAGCAAAGACAACCAGCTACTCGTTCTTTTAAAAAATACCACTGCAGTAACCTACCCGACTTTTACAAAAAATATTTTATCTATAGGAATTGACAATATGGATAAAATAATGATACAAAAATTTGTGACTGTTCAAAATTGTCAATCATTATTATATTTACCCTCATTATATTTTTCAATATTAATGAAATAAAATTTGGATTTTTATAGAATAATATAAACAAACAAGAGACAAATAACCAATAAATCACTCAACCAACATATACACAATATATTAAACAGCAAATAATACAAAGTCTAATGTGTTCACCCAATGTAAATTACCGGTAAATTAATATTGCATGCAAACACCTGACTACGGCAGCAGTCATCTTAATTGTTCATTAAGTATAAGAGAAACGATAAAATATAATATACAGTATATCTATATATCACACACACACTATAAATCATTTCCAGATAAAATTAAACAAATATCTTTGCTGAAATATTGCTAAAATTTAAAATAGCCAACGGGTAAAAAAATCTATATTGTAATACCATAATTATATTAAACGACTACTTGAATATTAACAAAATGACAAAGGCAATTCATTACCCAATCAGTGATGAATCACTTTCCCTTAAACTATAGAAAAATAAATATGCTTAGGAATAATAACAGATAAAGATTTAATATACCTACATTTAGCTTTTGGAAATACCATGACAATATAGTACTCAAAAGCTAAACAGACTAGTCCTGGTACACCGACTGTAACTCTGGCAACACCCTTCCAGCCATAAACAAGCGAATACACAATATTCCATACCAATCAAAATAATATATTTAATAAATAAAAACTGCACATTAGAAAATATCACAATATGGTAATATTAACTGAATGGATGATGAAAGTGGTATTGAACTGAATTTATGAGGAGGAGAGTAGACAAAGTGACCAAGATGACGAAGGGCAGACACGGTCAGTGAATGCATGAGGAAGTACGGGGGAGGGGGTCAAGAGGTGTGCGAGGTGTTGGCGAGTGCGTGTGTGCGTATGTGTTTGTGTGTGAGGCATCGAGTATAAAATCTCGAGAATCGTATCTCTCGTACTACCTTGCGGTTACCTTTGCGATGGTTTCGAGGCTCAATGTCCCCACAGGCCGGTCCTTGACCAGGCCTCCTAACTATATAACAAATTATATAATTAATGCATGTGTGATTTTTTGGTCATAATGTATATATTATCCTCTTTCATTACAGTAATATTGCCTCCCATTTTTCCCATGAAAGTGAAAAATGGGATACTGATAATGTTGTTAGGAAAAAAGGCAATGGAATCAATTTATTAATGGGGAAAGATTCTTTACCTATTACAGGTTATTTTTATTCCCTATTTATTTTTTAGATGACAAATCACAGGAAGTGCTCTACACCTAGTCCTATGAAGTGGCGTGGCACTGTTGTGGACGTCTCGGTACAGTGTGATTGGGCTATGTGTATTATGTGATGGAAATGATAATATGTGGAGGAACTTATTACAATGCCATAGTGCTTGAAAGAAGGAGAAGACAATATATGTGTAAGTGTATTAAAAACCAAATATTCAGATGCAACCAACATCCTTTCTCGAGATGCTGTAAACAATGTTCTCAACACTGTTTACATCACCTTGAGAAAGGATCAAATTGCATCCAAAAATGTTTGTCTTAAGACACACATATGTTGGGTCTTTTACTCCCCTTCATGATGCTGTGTGATGAAGTTGATACTATGTGATGATATGAATGGCCTCTTAGAACCTTTTTAGCCTCTATTGCTCTCTTATTTTTCACTATATATTGCCTTCCCCCTCCATGAAAATTAAAAATGATATAAAGATGATGATGATGGCAACACTATGCACAACACAGGTTATATCGCCATATTGAATGTCACGAGAAACACATCTGATCTCTTGAAATGTGTAGAAAGTAATTTCCTCCTTAAGATTACCTAGAATATGATCCGTAATCCTGCATTCATACATCAAGTAGCTTCAGTCAAAATGCTACAATCAAGTAATACAAAATAAAATTTTATATATCAGTAAACTAATTTTATGGCAGGATTTGAAATAAATCAGATTTAAACAATTATATAGTACAATATACTGGGCAAGCAAATTCACTGCACTTCCATCTTATGCATGATGAGGGAATTTTGTGTTTAGTGATACTAGTGAGCTCCTCTGCATGTAATTTGTTTTTTAAGTGAATCTTAAAAGCAACTGTCTTGTACTGCTACTGCTGAATTTATACTGTACTCTGATCAGGAGGATCAGCATTAAGTGTATATTAGGACCCATTTTATCTCAATGCTACTAGCAGAACATATGAAGCATGCTACATTCTTATCTTGCTTTGATCCCATGCTCAAAATAATGAGTTATTTCATGATTGGATCATATTCATTAAGACATAAATCTGTAAATAATGAAATAATATAAATAAAAGGAAAAAGGAAAACAGCACAAAATCATACATTATTTGAAAATGTTGGGAAGGTCTGAAAACGTTAAATAGTATTATCACGTAAATGTTAACAAGCAACTGATAACACACACACAAACTGGATGGAGAGGCCCTGCACTAAGTTTGAACTGTGTATCCCTATGATCAATTGACAATGGTTATCTGTTGAACATAATCACACTTCCTAAATGGTCCACAATTAAATTGCAACATATTTTCTCTTAACATCAAAGTCATACTGCGCAACTCTCTAACAGAATGAAGTCTATTTTGTCTGCAGCTGTTAGCGCCACAAAATGACTCTCCGTAGTGTGTAATTACCTAAGTGATTACCTAAGTGTAGTTACAGGATGAGAGCTACGCTCGTGGTGTCCCGTCTTCCCAGTACTCTTTGTCATATAACGCTTTGAAACTAAATGTGTCTACAGTGTCTACTTACTTTAGTGTCTACTGCATAACAAGCTCGATAATTTTGCGCATGGCACAAGAGGTCATGCTCACTGCCATCACAAAAGACGCAAGTCAGCTGTGTATTCAGGCTTCAGGCTTCATACTTAATGCAATGCTAGTCACATTTAGCAACAATGTTGATAAGAGCTAGTGGTGATTGGCTAAGTTAAAAATATAAATACCAGTTATACAGCAGCATGTTTGTACCAAAGTTTGTGTGCTATGTATAACAGAAGAAAGGTAAAACATATTAACCTCCTATCTGTCTTTAAAAGTTTTGATTCCACATTAGGCATGCTATACACTTTTAACTTATCATGACAGGTTCCTGATATGTATTCAACACACTCTCCAACGTGAGTAAGTATGTAACTATTAAAAGAAGGCGCCAAGGTGAATTGAAACCCATGAATGAATCCCAACATGAATTACATCCCCATATTATCGCCATTCGATGCTCCGACACATGCATATGACACCAAAACAATAACAATCTCTTGTCTGGCGTAACACAACAACATACCGCATCTACACACAAGAGCGTACGAACATCATTGCCCTGAGTACAAAAATGAATATTCGTGAACATGTGTTCGAAGACTAAAATGGAAGGCAGTAACAAAAATAAGCTAGAGGGCACTGTGGTGGAGTTAATTGTAAATATTTGTAACAACTCATGGCAAATATATTAGAAATTCTTAAGAGATCAACAAGAGTTTCATCATACCATATGGTTGAGTTTCTCATTCTGGATCTGGTAGTAGCAGGCCTAAAAAGGAGAAAAACTAAATATAAATAACAAGTCATTTATGGATTTAACAGTAAATTTATATATATATACTGTACCATACAGTCAAAGCCCCAAAGCTACTGCCATTCATGATTTAATCAGCTGTAAGTACAGTAAACCAAATATTTTGTAGTGCTAATACACAAGATCTTATAAAGGTCTAAGATAAGAAACGTCGTCGTCTCTTCAATTTCTAGTGTGTGGTTTGATCAACAAGATCTTATAAACTGTGGATGAAAAACTAAGTGCACAAAATTCTCCTTTGGGCTTTATTTCATAATGGAATTGCCACACTTTCACTGTAATAATCAACATCTTCAGGTGTACAACTAATGACCGACTTACTCTCAAGGTAGTGAACATGATGCCTAGCTCTCCATGTTGCATGTGAGGATCCAGCAGGTCATCCACAAGTTGAATCTCGGCACCGAGATGCTGTATGCGTGACCGAACGACTACATACTGGAACACTGGGAAGAGGTCATCCATGCTCCACAAGTAGTTGTTCCCCAGTTTGTTCATTACAGCCTGAAGAAACCATTGCTTAGGATAGGATAAGTGCACAAGGCATTCAATGCTAAAAGTTATAATTAAGTGCCAGTAGAATTCAAAGGACTATTAGTTATTAAATTTTGCCCTCAATAAGATCTTCATATATTATGAAAATGGTAGTAAACAAAATTTAACGAGCTTGATGCAAACGGTATAAACTATAAATGTAAAAATAATTAGGATATTTTCCTTTAATAAGTTGTAGTCTGACTACTCTGCTGTTGACTGCATAAAAGTTGTAATGGTTTTATTTAATATCAGCATCTGATATTTTAAAGTATAACAAGCTGCCTACCTTGCTCACTTGCTGAAAGGTACGATGGATGAGTCCTAACTTATCCCGTGGACTAAATGACGTTGACAACATCTGAAGGGTTTCAATAGCTTCAGTAAAATGCTGGTCCTTTAGTGTGCCCAATGTGCGGCTACACTCCATGATGGTCGCTCCTTCCGGCAACCAAAACTTACTGCAATAAAGGGAATGAACATCAAGCTAAAATAAACCTGGGTCCAGGACTGGTACTGGCCACATGAACAAGAGGCACTTATATGGGGACTAGTGCAAACTACGCCTCTCTCTCTTTTGCTTGTCTCTGGCAACACTTGACCAGTAACCTTTTTCTAGACTGGCGATAATGCCTCCCAGTCACTCTCTCTCTCTCTCTCCCACCCTTATTACAAAGTAAATTTGGAACGTTTGCTATAAAAGACTTATCGGTAACTTTCTCTGACCCACTGGCTCGGCTCTTCATCAAGAAAAACATTATTTATACAAGAGGCTTGTCTGACTGATGTTTCCTTCAAGAAGAAGCAATAAGCTTGCAGGGAATCACTTGGTGTAGCAGAACAAGGACACAGTGACCCAGGTTAGATATTGATTACTGTAGGAGGAAAGAAGTACCCTCTGATGCATTAACATCCTTCACAGGTATAGAACCTAAATAATGGTGACAAGTCGGGATGTGTCACAACGGAAAGGTTGATGATATTCTTGAGAAGCACCAATTTTGCACCAAGACTGTAATTTTTTGTTGAATTATCTGCATGTCTCTTGCAAATTGTCTATACAGTATACCTAGGTCATAAAAGTATTTGTGTGTACGTCTGATACCATACTACTTGTGTAAAGGAGGAAATGTAGATGTTTATCTCTCAGAATGTTTGGTAATATGTTTATTGTTTGTGATGTGTGTCTATGTATGTATTAACACGATGTACTGAACAGGGTGAGAATAGCTTGAGCTACCTCATCCCTTTGTGTGTATTTTACATCAATAAACTTATTTCAATTTCAATTTCAATGGTGACAAGAATGTACAGTGCATTTTTATGAGGTAGACTCTAAACATGAATAAAACATAATAAAGCATCAGCTGCATGAAAACAAAAAAAAGAGCTAGTGTACATTTTGTTTCTCAAGCAGCTATTGCACAACTGCTAAAATGCATGACTCAATGATTTCTAGAAAGACGGAAGACATGAATTAACTCTAGTTTTTGGAAAATATTAATGCTGTACGATGGAATCAAACCTGAATTCCTCAGGCAAACGCACTACCAACTGTGATTCATGTATGAGGGATAAATCCCATTGTGAAATTTAGCTTTGTTTCAGAATGAGAAAATAAACTGTCTAACTTTAACTTCTGGGATTTTGCATATCAAAGCAACAATTAAAGAGGAAAGAATAAAATGAGACCTGACAAGGAAGGGAGCAGCTGTCTACTCACACATCAACTCCCAAGAAAGTCATAAGAGCAGTATCTGGCTGCTTGTTCCACTTCAGCAGCCTCCTCCAGTACTCTTCATCTTTAGGCTGGTGATGCAGGACGTACAGTGTGGAAAGTGGAGAGTACACGTGCGGCAGCAGCCAGGGATGAATCACATAAGCTGGAGTCACTACACTGTAATGATTAAACCACCACTGAATGCATCTGCCTGTCCCTTTTCCAGCTGTCGTATGTCACAGCGAGCACTGTCAATATATCAAATGTGGTGCATTTCTTTAATATCAAATGTATTTCTCCATACTATTTAACGTCATAGACAGTAACACAATATGCTATGTGTTAATTGAATTACCAATGCTTAGAAAATACCATTTTTATGTACAATTATACTGATATGTCTGTATCAGGGATGAAGTGTATAAATATTTGGGTTCCCATTGTTGTGAACAGGAGGCTTGTTAGGTTTATCAAGGTCCCACTGGGCCAATGAGAGACCTTCTCCATAATTTAACCCCTTAGGAACTGAACTCAACTCCAACCAAGTGGACCAAAACTTGCACTTCCACTAAGTGCACTAACACTAACCATTGCCAGATGGTTAGTGCTAATTTTCCCAAGGGTTGCAACTGAAATTTGATCCTTCACACACTTACTACACAGGTATAATAGTACTGTTCATGAAATCTCCTTGATAACACTTTCATTACCAAATGACCTTCAACATTCTAGCAATGGACACTAAAGTTCAAATATGAAACATCACCAAAAAAATCTTATTATATTAGCTCAGAACACAACAAATCAGTTGGCTTTGATCAATGAAACCCTCTAGTGGGGAAACACCATACAATAATGAGCTGTAGGTGGAAGTACCAGACTGCAAATGTAGTTAACAAACACAATCCTTTACAGCAGTGCAGGCACAAGGCGCCATAGGCAGGACAAATCATCGCATAATGCTACTGTACTCTAAGTGCCTATCCAGCGAGCACTAACCAAACAAATTGCTAACTACAAACCTCCACTTCAACAGGTTTTGTGTGGCAACTAAATCTCAATGCCCTACCCAGCACAGGGTCAGCTTGGAAGTAACCTTCCAGAGGAAGGACGTGAATACCTCAGAGAAGATAACTGCGGAGATTAGCAGTTATCACTGACAAGTGCCGGTAAAGGTGACCCTAAAACCAAGCTGGTGCAGAATACGAGAGAAAGAAATGCTCAGTGTGAAAAGCCTATTTGCTCACGAAATGCTTGGACCAACTAGCCGAAAGGCAAGCAAGGCTCCACAGAGATGTGACCTTCTGGATGTCAGGCGAGAGCGTGAGCTGGTCTCCTGACTGAGGCCTGGTATCGGCCGTGTCACCACCTGGTGGTGGAGACGAAGAGTTGGTTGATGAGCTTGTTATCTAACTCTCAGATTGGTTTTGATTGTTGGGCATTTGTATAAACATTTCTTGGATTAGGACAGTGTGTTTTGGGGCCTCCATTTAATGCTCTTGTAGATAGTTCATCTCAACATTGGGTAAATCTATGATCCCAATGTTACACTCTTTGGAATGTGATGAGTAAGAGATATCTCACATTATACAGTACACCATAAAATATACTGAAATGTCAGATTCCAAACCTGCACAATAAAATTACAACACACTGGAATAAGAGAAATGGTAGGAGGTAAATACAAAAAAAATTATGAAAAGCAAGGATGCCATAAGCACAATTAGAGAACACCATATGACTATCAGAGGTTGTGACTCTTCAACTTCCTGCAAAGAAAAGAAATATCGATGCAAATAAAGCATTCAAAAGGTAACTTGACCAGCTCCTCCAGGAGCTACCAGATCAGCTGTATTGTGATGGTTTGGGGTTCATTACAAGCACCAGGGTAGTCCAGTCCCAGGCCAGGCTGTATCAACAATGACTACAGGTAAACCTAGATGGCCCATAAATACTCTGGCTCATTGAACATGTGAGGAGCCTTAATTCATAAATGGTAAATAAAGTCTGGCCAGTGTAACAACACAGCATAGTGAAGTTAATGCAATAATCTATACCAGCGAGATTTGTTCCACTACACAATTTTCGTAGCCCACCAAGGGGTCCATCACGATCTGTTGCCAAGATGGCGTCACTTACATTTCTTCTTGATCTTCCATCGGTGGCTCTAATAAAACATTTTCTTCCTCTCTTGGTAAGTCTGGAAACAACACCCTCACCAACTGGTATAATCTTGAAGTGAAGGAATGTACCTGAAGACCAAAATCATTCATTACTTAAACATTAAAGTTTAGAATAAAAAGAAACAGCTATTCAAGAAATACATCAGCATGGTATCTTGACGCAAGAACACTCTAACCTCCTGTACGGCATACGGCAGAAGGCGCGGGTGAGCCACAACTCCGCCATAGGTGGCTCTGAAGGCGTCAACCAGAGACTGCAGGAGTTGTCCTAATGGATGTAACCGGCATCCAAATGCCTTGAAAAAAAAAAAATGTGTAAAAGGAAATTTTACCTATAAAACAGAAACTGTCCATTCTACAAGCACTAATTATCCGTATATGAGTTGGAAACATTATTTAATTTTGATGTACTGCATGAAGAATAAATTTAACCAATAAACAAGGTTCTTTAATATGTTATTCAAATTAGTACACTATATTTATTAGGGTATTTGGATCATTTTTTATTGCAAATTGCATATACCTGTACTGTAATATAAATGATATGTCATAATGGCAATATATGCCAAGCAGGCAGTAAGTTGCAATAACGTGGTTAAAAAATAGAAAGCCAACTTCACACTTCTGAAAATAAAAGAATTGACAACATTTTGGCCAATCCTGAATCATTATCACATTGTGTGGGTTGGATATGTAATATATGTATTCTGTATTTATATAAGATACACAGTACTTATAGAAGGTTATGGCACAAAATAACTGAGAAATCAAAGCCCCTTTAAACCTCAACAATAAATATAAATGTTAGCTTTTATTCCCATTATCTAAGATTTACACCTGGCTGAGTTACAAAGAAACTCTCCCAATATTTTAAACATCAGTGCATGGGGGGAAGGTCAGATCCCAAGCCACTCACACATAATGTAAGCCACCCTCATTATAGATACCGATATGCAATTTAGTTAGCAAGTATCGCACAAATCTTCCATGTACTGTATTAGGTATGTTGGCAATTGAACAAATTAATTACTTTGTGTAAAAAAGATAAACCAAATTTGTTTAGGCTTAAGTTAACGCGTTTGTTAAAACGCGAAAGTATTCGTGGTGCCTTGGCAGGCTTAATGCCCACTGTGTGAAAAACTACCAGAATCTAGGTACTTTGAAAAAAGGTTCCACATATATCATAATAATTGGCAAAATGCACTAGATGTGAAAACAAGCTTGGAGACAACAGGTGCAGTCATTTGTTGACTTTGCTAAACGGTCAAGTTCGGTTGGTTAACTGTTTTTTTCACTGTATGATTTGGTAATATTTGTAAGCCTAAAACTGCCCTTGTGCCACAAACCTGAGTAAAGGTTACATAATGAGGTGATCAGTGCAACATGAAACGCAACATGGGGGCCGGGTGGCTGAGTGAACATCGCTCGGGATTCGTAGTCCTAGGGACCGGGGATCAATCCCCGGCGATGGCAGAAACAAATGGGCAGAGTTTCTTTCACCCTGGTGTCCCTGTTTACCTAGCAGTAAATAGGTACCTGGGAGTTAAACAGCTGCTATGGGCTGGTTCCTGGGGATGTGTGGTTGTGTGCATGTGTTAGAGAGAAATATAGAGGAGAGGAGCCGAGCGGACAGCACGCGGGACTTATGATCCTGTGGTCCTGGGTTCAATCCCAGGCGCCGGCGAGAAACAATGGGCAGAGTTTCTTTCACCCTATGCCCCTGTTACCTAGCAGTAAATTAGGTACCTGGGTGTTAGTCAGCTGTCACGGGCTGCTTCCTGGGGGTGGAGGCCTGGTCGAGGACCGGGCCGCGGGGACACTAAAAGCCCCGAAATCATCTCAAGATAACCTCAAGATATGTAGTAGACATAATAGAGGAAAAATAAATTGGTTAGAAAGGCAGTGTCCAAGAACTAATAGCTCAATTCTGCAGATTCAAATAGTAAAAACATGAAAATTGGACATGCAGCATACACAAAATTAATTTATTGCATCTAGCCTCCAACTATTTCTCCAACATTATTTAATAGTATATCAATTACCTTGCCTAAATATGAATGAATTTCCATGAAATACTGGTATGTGAGTTCTCCTTTTCTCTCAGGAATGCGATCGATTCCATCCAAAACGTCCATTTGGGCACTATGACGCAGAGCTGCCTGCTTCTCTGCTTCCAACCTAGTGGCAAGTGTTTCCCACACCTGTCATTGTAACAAAAGTATATTCAGTGGCAGGTAATGACGCAATGTTTTATGCAGCGTGGCACTCCTATCAAGTCGTGTCAAGGAAGAGTGGAAGAATGTCAATATAAAAAGGGGCACCTTCTTATCTCATTCCAAGGAACTTCTTGTATTTCTTACCCATTTCCTTTTCCTCCATATCTCTTCAAGACACGAGTAAAGCAGTGAGAGGAAATTGATGCAAACCCTAACTCTTGTGAGAACCACAAGTGGTCTCCGTGCATAAACAGTGGGATGGCTGACTGAATCAAACAGCTTGACTCTGGATAAGAGACGAAGAGCATCCCGAGTGAAAAACAGGCCAGAGAGCAGTGTTCAGTAGCAACAAGTATGTTAGCAGCAAAATATCCTGTACAGCAATGATACTACTTAAAGCATGAGAAAGCATGAGTTCAACACCTGAACATCCTCAGATATGTACTATGGTCAGACACTCTAGCTAATGGAATAGACAGACAACTATATTCATGTTTAAACATAACTCACCATAGAACTTTATTCTGAAAAAAAAAGACCAAAGGAATTTGCCTCAAATGATAAAAGCTAGAAAGCTTGATAACAAATAATGTCGAGCCTGTGGGCCAGAAAGGCAACAAATGTAGCATAATCCTGTCCAAGGACTCTTGCCAGCTTTATCAATCATCAACAAATATAACTTACTTTCCCAACAACCAAATTTACACAACTTCTTTCATTAAATAAAGGACAATTAAGATAAACATTCCCACAAATCATTTGTCCCACAACTGAGGTGATGCTGAACAATAAAAATAAACCTGACCTACACTTTAACTTACTTTACTTGTAGTCACATCTGTTCCAGACGTAATGCCCAGATGTTCCTTGCACTGACGCACAATCGCCGTCCATTTCTGGTCAGCACTCACACTTAACTTCCCAAACGACCTTAATAATAAAAAACTGCATTAAGACTGGGCCATTTAAGTCAAAAAGAGTTAATCCATTAACACAAGTCAAGCCTGGCCTCAGGCCGGGCTTAGGGAGTAGAAGAACTCCCAGAACCCCATCAACCAGGTAAAAATGGTGGTAAACAATATATCAATCTGATGAGAATATTAGAAATCAGGCTCAAAATCAAAAGATCACTCAAAAAATCCATTGCCGAGTCCATTTTCACAAATGGTTTCTTGGGATATACTTTACAGTATTTAATCCAAAAACTCATTCCCAATCTTACTTTTTCCTACCATTACTTTGGACATATTCACCCACAAAATCATTCCCTACACCAGCTTAATTGTCATACTGGCCACGTGTACAACCAGCCTACTGATTGATTTTTTTTTTTTGCTTATACAAAAAAAAAGCCGTCCTTACTTACGTCCTTATTAACTTACTCAGATATAGCCACAGTACATACAGTTATATCAGGACAAGTTACCAAGTGTGCAATAACGAAAGACAATTAATAGATAAGTGATTCAACCAAAAGCCAGAAAATGGTGAAGCTGATGGATTGCATTTGAATTTGAGATCTTTAAATAACTTTCTGTCTGTAATGATAATAAATTTTTAATGGTTTCATCTTGCAATGACCGATGGTTTGTTCTGCAGATGTCTTGCATTATGCATTGAACTAAGAAACAAATCTGCTGTAGCTTTCTGACGCGTGTTGAACGATGACAAACTCTGCAACTTATACACGTGAGAAATCGAACAATGAAACAGCCAATCTTTGTGAAGATAGACAGATGTTCATCTATGTACTGTACAGCGTTAAAAACATAAATAAAACAATTTCAGACCTACTTGGGCATGTTCTCCTCATCAGGCGCACCAACCCCTTTTTGCAGCATACCGTTGATCTTGATACCTTCTTCCCAGGTGCCTGTGAAGGTTCCTTCTATGGTGTCTCCACTAGGATAATGTAGACTTCCTTTCCCGGCAAACGTTCCACCAATACCAAGTTCCCCCTCATAGTAAGTTTTGTCTTCAAACACCATCAGACCATAGCCCTAAAATCAAATTACTGCATATATAATAATAATAATAATTTGTATTCAGGTGAAAGTACATTCATACAAAATCAGTTACAAACAGAACATTGGATTTCTAGATAGAGTTAGTATATACTGTACTATGCCTAAAGGCACTAATACGCACAGTGTTTCGGGCACAGCATCTTTGGCCAAGGATATATCCAGGTCTCGTTAACACTGCTCAATTGCTGCACAAATAATTAATGCTTACCGTATTTTCCGGCATATTAGATGCACTTAGTTTACAAGGAAATCTTGCTGAAAAGGACAATTTTTGTACGTTTCATAATACTGTACTGTACATATTTTGAACGTGATTTTCAAACGGCTTTGTAGAGTACACATGATTTTGTTCGTTTAAGTTTGTTGAATCAAGGTTGTACTGTAATTGGCATCCTGCCTCATTCACTACTTAGCGTGCATTAGTTCATGATATGAGGAGTCATAATTGGCAGCAGAGACTAATCAAAGCAAACAACTCTCTTACACTACAAACTGTTTAGAACTACTGTATAGATAAAGTCCAACCTTCACACACTGTGACACAAATAATTTTCCCTATACCATGGTAGCCCATTAGAAATAAAATACCATTTGGTTTTAAGTATATTAGTGCAACAGCCAATACAAAACAAGGAATGTATACCATTACCAACATTTATCTGAACCCAACTCATTAAATTAAAACATTCAACAATTATTCCCAAGACAATGGTCTGAGCTAAGAATGATTTCTTAACCAAGTTGGGTCTTATATTTCCAAAATGAATAAAGTTCTTTTAAGATGACCAAATTTTAATTGTAAGAATAAACTCAATCTATGAGTTTTTAAGGAGATAATATTTATATACAATAAACAAATACTCACAGTTAGCTTATTTTGGTGAAAGTTTCCCTCATAATAGACACCATTCATGGTGACGACCATACCCGACCCATGACGGCAATTGTTCTGCCACATTCCCAGGTACTTCTCGCCTGGAACATGCATCATAACACTGAAATATGTCGTATCATATACATAGCCGTGCACCCCAACCAATAAAAATGGTGGATAAACATGATTACCTATACAAGATACAAAAACAGACAAGGAAATGTTTTTGAAACCAGAACTAAGCAGACCTAAGGGCATAATTTTAAACTACAGAAGACAATCTGTATGACGTATACCAAGAGGTCCTTAAACCACCGAAAGTTTGAAAATGATTTATTACCAAAAATACAAGTCGACCCCACGAGCACAACATTCTACTTGCAACTACAGACAGGAAATAGTGCACGCATGTTGAGCGGGGTCCAAGAGCTAGAGCTAGATCCTGAATGCAAAAACAGGCGAGTACACACTTAGGAAATAATAATAAAAACACTTGGCTAGCTGCACTATTCATTGGCCGAGTTTTGGGGGTTATACACTACTTATGGCAGATGGTGGTGGTGAATTGGTAATAAGGACCAATGGTGATGCTTCATCTGGCTCTACTCCTCATTTCTCCCTAAATCCATTAACAATTTTGAATGTCATATCTTAGACACATCTAGGTATTTAATATAATGTGCCCAGGCCTATAGTGTGTGTGTAAGTTGGAGCCATAGATATTACAAAGAAATGTTTAGAAAATAATTTGCTTGCAGTGAGTGGCAAGCAAATTAAATGAACTTGAGCTAGAGGTGGTAGAAAGCAACCACCATTTCTGGTTCTAAAAGCATACATGATAGAGAACCAGAGAGTAAGAAGGAAAAATTGCACAAGATACAATAATTATGAGATGGGGCACTAAGAGTTGGATTTGACTTCCCATAGACACAATTAGGTGAGCATGCATGTATATACTCATGCACTCATTCTCTCTCTCTCTCTTTCACTAGACATTGGTTAATTCACAGCACTTTTTTTGTTCATACTAACTAAATTTACACCAAAGTATTATTTTAATTCTATTATATTTTTAATTAACCTGTACTGGGGATATTCTGAGCCATAGCTCAGAATATCCCCTGCCAGTCGCCCTTCGGTGTTTGATGTGTGGATGTGCCTGACAGTACAGTACATTCTTTTCGTTTTTGGACTGACATACACATGCCCTCATACATACACATCCCCACTCTCCTCTCAAAGTTAGCAATTAAGGATGAAAACAACATGAAAACTGACTAACCTTTAACTATTTCGTCCAGCACACCATAGCCTTGTTTAACGCCACTGTTCCACTCGCCAGTGTATACAGAAGCTGCCTGCGAGCTGAAGCGTCCCTTTTTAAGCTCACCGTGTCCATGAGGTTGGCTTTCATGGAGGTATCCAATATACACATCCTTATTGGCATACCTACATTTGCAAAACATAACACGTGTGTGTGTAAGAAAATCAGCAGTAAATATGACTTTACTCATATACTATACATACTTATAACTCTACCAATACATCTGTACCTTAACTATTGTACGTCTATGTTTACTATATATCCATAAACCTTAATAATGTACATGTGTCAGAAGATTTAATGTACCCCCAATATAATGTTTTTTTCAAAACCCTATCATTAAAAATTTCTGTAAATGCAATACAGCTATTTAATATAATAGAAAGTTGGAACTCAAAAATGAAGCATCAAGTGATTTGAAAATCTACCTTCGAAGTGGGACATTTGGGCGCTTCCTGAAGCAACGTCCTTGAATGTCTCGGTGAACAGGCTCATGACAGTCAAGGTAGGGTGACATTTTGCCCCATACAATACAAATCTTTAAGAAAATATCTTTGCTAGCTCATTGTGGTGATTCAGGATGGTGACATGTTGGGGAAAACCATACCACATACAGCCCCACTCCTATGCTAGGTAAGTCCACTACGGGCTCACCTTAGCCCATGCTACTTGGAACTTTTTGTTCCCAGTAGCTGAATCTAAAAAGCAAAGTTAGGAAAACTGGCATTTTGCAAGACCATTACTTAGTGGTCATTCCCTATCATGCTAAGTTTTAAGTACTGTATTTGATAACCAAACCCATTTCAGGAAATGAAGTAACGACGACATTTCAGGCCCTCGTGGATCATTATCATCACACGACTTGATGATACTCCAGGAGGGACAGAAACACTGTCTTTTCTTCATTTTCTCATGTGTGGTTTGGTCATCGTATCTTCAGCCACGTTATTGTGACTCATTACCTGCTTTTTAAGTATTTTATATGTAGGCTTTCTGTAGACACTTCTGGCTGGTTGACCAGACAACCAACCAGGAGGCCTGGTCAGAGACCAGGTTGCGGGAATGTTGATCCTCGGAATCATCGCAAGGTAATAGCAAGGCGCAAGATAAAGTGGATAGAGGTATTTTTTTTTGTCAACCCCTAGTGATATGCCTTAAATTACTTATTTTAGTCTTACCTGATAATGCCTTTTCCCTCAAGTTTTCCATTCTTCCACGTGCCTTCATAAATGGTGACCCCTCCGGTTGAGGGTACCTCCAGCCGACCGGGGCCGTGGTAGACGCTCTGCCGGAATTGTCCCTCATATTTCCGTCCATCAGACCAAGTCATAATGCCCTCACCATGAAGTTTACCACAGAACCACTGACCTAGAATAAATTATATAATGGTATATATGTGTATAACTATCACCATATCTATCTATCTCCCTCCCTCTAAAAATACCTTCAACACAAGATTTGTTGGTAAGCTTACTGTAATGCATAAGGTCAATATTCTCCAGGTTCCCGGCCCAGCACAACTTTGTGGACATCCAAATGTTGGCAAGCGCAACACGCGGCGCTCAGTCATTAACAGCCTCATGCTAACCGAGCCGTTCTCAAAAACATTACCCCATCAGTGATCATTTATTCCTAGGTTGATTCACATACATTATAAAGATGTTAGCTCAACAAGTAAATATGCATGCAATCAAATCAACAAACTACACGAAGGTGCGGTACACAACTGGCTCCATTTTCTTCTAACATGATTGTAACATGATTTTTCTTCCAACATGATTTTCTAAACATGATTGTAACTTAATTAATAAACTCATCAAATACAATTTAGGCATCAGGCTTCAAATAACCAGATGTATGATAACAGCTCTTAACCTGCAATTTCATTAGGAACATCAGTGACATTTCTAATGAGCCCTTGTTTTAGTTAAAAACTTAATTTTTTCTTAATGTATAAGTATATACAGTACATAAATGTGTGTGTGTAAATCACAAGGAAATTAATACATGATGAACAATGTGAGTGTCAAACCACGAAGGAATGATTAAGACAAGAATTTCCCTAAGTACTTTTGTATTTAATAACCGATCCTTCTGAAGACGTATTATTAAATACGTACATACCTAAGGAAATTCCTGTCTTAATCCTTCCTTCGTGGTCTGACACTGTCATATACGTACATACATATTTACATACTGTAGATAGATTGACTTACCACTGTACGTGGCATCCTTATACTGTGCATTCTTAGTAAAGGTATAAGATGCATTTCTCACAAGGGGAGGGGTCCTTGGCACCACCACCAACCCCCCCTCGCCAGTGCCATGAACAGATCGCTTGATGCCCTCCTGAAGGGCATACATCCACTGACCCTTGTCTGAACTGGTGGGGCATGCCAGAGTCAACGTGTCCTCCGGCAATGTTATATGAATACCATTCTGAAATTAAAAGTAGTAATAAATCAGGAAATTTATTATTAGTAATAAATCAGATTTGCTAACTTATATTGAACGAGATGAGAATACAAAATTTTTACTTTATATACAACAAAAATGTGAATACATCAAATACTTTCTTGTACCCACAGAAACCATTGCATGCAGCAGTCTTTCCTAAACCTCTTCACTACCAAACCATCTCCAAAGCATTTAGTTTCAAAGACCCAAAATTTCTCTCTAAGCAAAGGAAGATGAAGTCAATTCTGTTTACTGAATATGGGGTTAAGTGAGCGGAGTAAGACACTACTTGTAGAATTCTTTCACTATATTATCCACCTTTTTCTTCTCTAGATTGATACTTCCTCAATCCATTAAATTAGGATGTGGGGTGTAATGATAATGAATAAATCAATCAATAATCTACTTTACTCATAATTCCCCAATATATATAATGCAACAAAGTTAATTTCACTGCTAGAGTGCACAAACTAATTTGACTTCTAATATAACTAAGACACTAAATGAAAAATACATCCAAAGGATACCTAAACAACCAGCCTGTAATTAACAAGTCACACTACAAACAGTGGCGGTTGACCACACCACCAACCAAGAGGCCTGGTCACCGACCACACACACACTAACACCATCTCAAGGTAAGCTTTTAAAAGAACTCAAAAATGGCATGCCATAACTATTTCATACCTGAATACTTGAGCTGTTAGGTACTGGCTCAACCCACATGGTACTGAGATCATACGTTGTAAAATTTGAGTACTGAAGGTGCACAAGAACATCAGTCAGCAAAACAAAAGAATGGGATGAGAAGCGTCCAGCATTGTGGACATTTATGGGGTTGGTGTGTGAATCTCGGAGAAGTCGTCGCGATGGGTTGGCCAAAGCTTCTACCATCTTGGGGCTACATGTTTCCCAATACGCCTTTGTTGCTTCAGCTTCTACCTGAAGTTTGAATATTAATAATACTAATAATGACTGATAATAATAATAATGATGACTGTTCTTAAGTAAAACTGAGTAGAGAAGTTTTATAAGCTACATATTCCAAAACTTAGCGTTCCAGATTTCACACATTTATATACAATTTAAATGAAATAAACTTAAAACTGACTAAATCTTACCTGATTTTTTTGTGCTACATTTGACAGCTGCCTCCAGTGGGCATGGGCAATTTTGATCTTGTCTAGCGTAAAAGGCGAGTAATAATTATCAGCATCATTCTTCATAGATAGGAGAAATTCAACATACTCATGGATGTGGTTCAGTGGCCGGAGAATGAGGTGGGCAAAGAGATCACTGTTGGTTTTTCTCTTGTCTTCAGGAATAAGAGATGCTAAAATGGACTGGCACTTCTCCATGACTATATTAGCTTCTTTGCTTGCGACTGCGAGGCCACTGATAGCAATTGCATCACACACTGAGCTCATATATTTCTGGTAAATTGACTTGTGTTCTTCTACCTGCCAAAAATTAAGCATCGAGTGAAATGAAACTCTTTTCTGAGTGCTGCTTTGTTAGCTTGCCTTAGCCCTATGCAAGGACAGAAACGCAGGCGATGAGTCACAATAACGTGGCTACAGTATGTTGACCAGACCACACACTAGAAGGTGAAGGGACGACAACGTTTCGGTCTGTCCTGGACCATTCTCAAGTCGATTGAGAATGGTCCAGGACGGACCGAAACGTCGTCGTCCCTTCACCTTCTAGTGTGTGCTCTGGTCAACAAGGACAAAAAGTTTCTGCCAGACTCTGAATGACTCTAGACCAGAGAGACAAGTACCCCTGCAATTTGTCTAGTCTAAACATGATATAACAAAAATCCTTTAAATCACTCAAATCAACATCAAAGACTGTAAATCCCTCAAAACAATCTCAAAGACTGTAAATCCCTCAAAACAATCTCAAAGACTGTCTTGGAGGTTCAAAAATTGCCAAGATTTGCTCTGAGCATACAGAATAACATTTAAATGACCAGCTCAGTGTATGCAACTGGGTAATGGAATACTTAATTACTTGCCCGAAACGCATTGCGTAATAGTGGCTTTAGGCATTGTATGTACTAGCTCTATCTATATATCAATCCATTAATGTAACATCACTTGTATGTATATACCTTACCTGAATAAACATCTGAATCTGAATCTGAATCTTAATGGACAGTAAACAAAGGGTCACAGTTAAAGAGGATGTGTCAAGTATGAAGGATGGTGCAAGGGAGGCCTGGCAAAGCTCTCTCCTTGACCTGCTGTTAATCCTAATCAGTGTAAGCAATAGTCAGAGTTCAACTCCAACAAGTGTAAGTTAATTAAGAGGCGTTTAGGAGACATGAAGAATTACCTGAATTAAAAGGCCTAAGCTACAAAGAAAGGGTCAGGGATCTCAAGGTGGTAACAGTCAAGGAAAGAAAAGAGGGAATATAATAGGCCGACAAAAAGAGACAAGTTGGACAAGAACTGTATTGTCCAACCAAGAGAAGGAGAACTGTACAAACAGATATTAGGAGAAGCTGCAAGCAAAAATAAATCAAAGAAACATAAGAAGGACTGTACTCATATGCTGTAAAGGTGGTAAACATGTAGAATATACTGTATAGTAAAAAGAAATTGTCAACGCCATCTCCATCCATAACTTGAAGAGCAAACAATGAAGAAATTGAACACCAGACGTGGTTTGCTCATGGTTTGCCCTCGTGCTTTTTACTGTATATCCTATTTGTGAGCACTAAGTGGGATATGCTTTTTTCTACTTTTTTTATATATATTTTCAGTACAGTAATTGCAGTCTTACAGAACAGACATCTCAAAAACAGAGATGTAGATGAACTGAGAAATGGACGATTCAATAAGATTCCATTCTATTCATCTAATGAAATACTGTGTATAAAATCTGAATGCTAGAAAGAAAATGGAATTCCTTCAGTATTTGGTATAGATGGTGTAAACAGCAGATAAATCTGGTAACTATATAACAATGCTTTACAAAATGTTCTGACATTTCAATAGAATTATATTTAAAGATACACGCATGTGTCCAGCAATGAGTGATTTTTTTTGTAGTAGTGATCTGAGAAAAGAAAATTATGCAATGTAAATACAATGTGAATATATTATAATACCAAGCCCTCTCTGAGAATTAACAGAAATTTCGAAAAGAACAGTCATTTTCCTTGCAAATTATCTCAAATGACTCAAAGAGTTTCTCACCTGCCGTATTATTGGTATGACAGAGGTGACGTCAGCTGCCTGATCATCCAACATGTCTCTCAAACTGCTGGCCACCGCATGCGTTACATCGAGGTAAGCTTCGAGAAGCTCCTGCTTTGTCTGTTGCACCTGGCTGTTCTCAACTATTGGCAAAGAAGATCATTGTAAATTAAATTATAACCCAAAATAATTATATCATCAGTTTATTAGGCCGTCCTCCTGCTCTACATAATGATGAACCACATATGTCGTCCAGATAACCCAAACCTGGAGTAAATCTAAGCCTTCCTCCATCGACACACCCACCTCACATTCGTAGCGTCTCACCCAGTTCCTAGAGATTATTTTCACCACTAAAAAGAAATGTTTTCACATTTACTGTATTCTGTTCAGTGCATTTTTAGTTATCTTTAAATTAATTTCTTATTTGCATTAATCTCAGAAAAATATAAAAATACCATGATTGTACATTCATTGCTAATGGTAGTACAGTACTGTATATTCACTGCTAATGGTAGTACTGTATATTCTCTGCTAATGGTAGTACTGTATATTCTCTGCTAATGGTAGTACTGTATATTCACTGCTAATGGTAGTACTGTATATTCTCTGCCAATGGTAGTACTGTATATTCTCTGCTAATGGTAGTACTGTATATTCTCTGCTAATGGTAGTACTGTATATTCTCTGCTAATGGTAGTACTGTATATTCACTGCTAATGGTAGTACTGTATATTCTCTGCTAATGGTAGTACTGTATATTCACTGCTAATGGTAGTACTGTATATTCTCTGCCAATGGTAGTACTGTATATTCTCTGCTAATGTTAATACTGTATATTCACTGCCAATGGTAGTAATGTATATTCATTGTTAATGGTAATTTTATACATTCACTGTTAATGGCATTACTGAATATTCACTGCTAATGATAGTACAGTACTGTACATTCCCTGCTAATGACAGTAGTACATTACTCGGGTCTTCACACATACCTGGTAATAAAAGTAGACTCACTCCTAACAATAAAAAATGACAAGGATGAATTCTGAACAATGGCAACATTAAAATAAGAGGCATGACATAGTGCTTTATCAGGTGGGACATAATATTATGTAAATAATCTTGCCATGACTAGGCATAGCGTTACGTGAAGAACCATATTACGACAAGGTGGAAGTATAACACTGGGGTTGATACCTGGTTGATGGGGTTCTGGGAGTTCTTCTACTCCCCAAGCCCGGCCCGAGGCCAGACTTGACTTGTGAGAGTTTGGTCCACCAGGCTGTTGCTTGGAGCGGCCCGCAGGCCCACATACCCACCACAGCCCGATTGGTCCAGCACTCCTTGAAGGAAACAATCTAGTTTCCTAGATTGCCCTCGTGTTTAAGACAACTGAACAAATCCACAAAGGGCCGTGATGAGGGCTCGAACCTACTCACAGGATGTTCCCAGATGTGCCTTAGTCAACTGCACAACGACATAGTCAAAAGAATTGCAACCTGGAGTACTACTGCCCTCACGAGGATCCCGAAGCTTCTCTGAAGCAAAACCGGGGTTTCACACAATTCCCCCATGCACCCGGGATTAGTTCAATTGATATATCATGCTAGTGTGATCTGTGTGTGTATTTACGACAACTCTTTTGGGCGATTTGTCTCCCACCTGTGAAGCCGCTCCCACCGACGATGCCGGGTGCAGCCGGGTCCTTGTGGGATGTGCTTGAGGACGAGCTCTTGCTACTGTTGCTGGTGGTGCAGGTTGAGAGGAATGGTTTCACCACGTGCTGGTTGACACACTTCAGCAGGCTCAGGTACTCTGTTTCATTTTTCAGAAATTTTATCACCTGTAGCCAAAAAAAATATATACTACACAGTACATATAATATGTATTTATTAAAAAAAAGGTACAAGTAAAAAAAAAAGATTAAGAAATTTTATACTACATTTTTCATATAATATATATTTAATTAAATAAAAATAATGTACAAGTAAATAAGATTATAAAATTGTTATTTCTAATAAAAATGGAACCGGTAAATTTTTTTAAAGGATTATAAATAGTATTTATATGAACAAATTGATATTTACACAATGACAAATCTTACTGGTGCCACGACAATGAGGTCTTGGGCATCGAATACAACAAAGGAATGAAGGTTGATCATTTAAATGGGGGGGTACAGTAATAGCCTTTTTCAAAGAAAACGACGAACAGAGCCACAGCTCAAAATTATTTCCGGTGACAGAGCACAGCTGTATCCATAAAATTAAAGATACCATCTATCAGGAACAATATCTATTTCCCTGATATTGACAGCTCTCAGCCAGATATCGGCCACAGAGGACCTTAGTTTACAACACTCGACAAGCAAGTGCTTCACACTCGACAAGCAAGTACTTCACACTCGACAAGCAAGTGCTTCACACTCGACAAGCAAGTACTTCACACTCGACAAGCAAGTGCTTCCCACTCGCCAAGCAAGTGCTTCACACTCGACAAGCAAGTGCTTCACACTCGACAAGCAAGTACTTCACACTCGACAAGCAAGTGCTTCACACTCGACATGCAAGTGCTTCACACTCGACAAGCAAGTGCTTCACACTCGCCAAGCAGGTGCTTCACACTCGACAAGCAAGTGCTTCACACTCGACAAGCAAGTGCTTCACACTCGCCAAGCAAGTGCTTCACACTCGACAAGCAAGTGCTTCACACTCGACAAGCAAGTGCTTCACACTCGACAAGCAAGTGCTTCACACTCGACAAGCAAGTGCTTCACACTCGACAAGCAAGTGCTTCACACTCGACAAGCAAGTGCTTCACACTCGCCAAGCAAGTACTTCACACTCGACAAACAAGTGCTTCATACTCGACAAGACAAGGCAGGCATCACACAGTGAGGCAGTCCCTCTGATCAGCAAATAGCTACGTGTCAGCTTCGTGTGTGACCAATATGAAGTGCTCGTGCCAGAGCCATTTCTCACGACCATATTGGCATGTCGAGAGGATACCCCAGTGAATGACCAACTTGGTATTACTAACACTCTGAGCATGTTTGGTCCTGCAAAGGTGCCCCAGCAGCCTTTGTCAAGACCCTGTGTGAATCTCTGGATAAAAGTCTTTAAGATCCATGTCGATGACTAGAAAAACTACTAAGATACATGTGGTTGACTAGGAAGACTACTAAGATACATGTGGTTGACTAAGAAAACTACTAAGATACACATGGTTGACTACTGCCAACGACAGCCTTGGCCAGCTCATAGACCCCCTCCCCTTATTTTGAACATATTAATAACATGCTCACAGTACTTTTGTTAGTACAGAACAACAACAAAAATGTTATGTATTGAAGCCCAGCAGAAAGTAACATTTGCCACATTGCTTGAGTAAAACTAAACACACTAGTATTTCTAGTATTGTGCCCAAGGGATAGAGAGAAATGAAGGCTTCAAGGATCTGATCTCTTAGAATCACTATACTGTATATGTACAACACCTATATTGTATACAACACCTAAGTGTGACATATTACTGTATTTATGATCCTTGCTTCCCTTGCCTACGCATGTTGAAAATCATACACAATACAAACCACTTTTTACCCCCCTTCCCCCATGTCTTATCAATTTAATGGTTACTGTAATAATCACTGTATTTCTACAATATTTAATTCAATATAAGGCGAGATAACTTAGATAAATGTTGTTCCGAAATGATGTAAACATTATCTTTAGCCGGGACTATATTACTATCAGTTGTGTTGAAGCAACCGACTGTTATAATGACCACTCCACAGAACTTGGGTCATCAATACTTGATGCACTTACAATATGTCTTACTTAAGTTAGGATTAAAAAGTATAGGTAGGTTGGTTAGATATATATACAAATAAGAAGGGAGGTGAATAGAGAAGTGAATAGACAGGTGAGGTGTGGATGGTACGAACCATTTTTACTGTGTTGTGGAGCAAATCTGCCACACTGACAGATAGATACATATAAACCTTTCCAACATCATTTATAGATGTTTACATGAATACACATTGCATTTCTTCCATTTCTTTTAAACGAGTACCGATACAATTCGGTCATTCTGAAAACCATGTAATGCACTTCGTTGAATAACTGAGTGAAATCTGGATATGGCCTATTATTTGATTTACGGGATATCGAATATTTTTTACCAGTTTATTCGTGAATCCATTATATGGTATTCAGGTTAAATTGGATTACAAGGTAATAATATCTATCCCACATATATTTCACAAAAAATGATAAATTACATCTGATTACAAAAGCTAAACAGATAAAATCTTACTGCAATACAATAATATAAAAAAAAACATGCAGTATATGCTGTATGGAAATACCTGTGGATGCATCTCATCAGATGTGCATACAACACTGTCACACTGGCACAATACTGATCTGCAGCGCGTCGTGGCATCACCGACTGGTATCTGCTGCACTGTTGCGTTTTCTTCGTCCCTAATTAACAAATATCGTAGATACATAAGAATAATCACATTACATATATCATAACTATACTGTACAGGGTGTCCTTAGTTTATGAACGACATGCATCCCAAAAATGCAGGTGGCTAAGAACTCTATGGGTACCAGCAACTTTAAATGGTCCTGTAAGAACACTTATGATTTAATTGTGCATAAACATGTCCTTATGGTACTGATGCCATCTGTGTCTAGCTTTAGTGTCCTGACAAATCTGTGATCAATGTATCTGAGAGAGCTGCAGCACAATACAAATCAGAGGGATTAATTATGAAACACAGACTGTAAAAACAGAAAATGACACTGCAACCGAAAAATTTTGGCATTAGAAGGTCACAGAATTGTAATCTGGGTAACTGTATTATTTAAAGCCCACAATGAAACATATGGCTATGGTCAAAATCAACATTTAAGATTACAAAATGCAAAACATTAAACCACTGAACAAAACACACACCTTAGTTTGCCCACATAGTATGTAAAACCATCAATGGAAATGACGATGAGGTAGTTGTCCCCCGAGGCCAGATCCCGAACCAGACCTCCGTCAGGAAGTTCAAGGCGTCTGGGAGAGACAATGGATGATGAGGCATTCCCAACTTTACTGGGAGATTTGTTTGGGGATTTATTGGGTAATAATCCACTTCCAACAGGTGCAGAACGTCCACCTTGGCCGCTCGAGTTGTCCCCCCACACAAACACCTAGGAAACACCTATCATTACTACATTTTTACCCACACCTTGACACTGGAACCTCAGAGAAGAGACTAAAGTATTTGGTATTTAACATAAATCCATTTTAATTTCAACAAATGTTTCATAAATTTTAAAAGAAAATGGGGTATATTCAGAAAGTCTAATAGATGCAATAACTTCATTCAATAAAGAGAAAATGATTCATAAAACTGGACCAAGAAAAATAATATTCGCACCAAACACTGAAAGGCATACATTAAATAGAGAAAAATTCTGCATAACTCTGACAAATAGTACTACTGTACAGCCAAATATACTTAGCAAGAGTTCAGTACAGTACATGGAAAAAGAAGAAAAAAGAATTGGCAGGCTACATGGCATTTACATCTCACAGACAAAACTCGTGTCTCAAAGACAGATCCAGACGTGACGTGACTGAAGACATTTGGAGAATAGTACTGTATTGTCTAGGCAAAATGTCTTCTTCGAGTTTACTAACGCACAGTTTCCTGCAAAGAACAGTCCACATCCTCCCCACTAATTTAGAAAAATTAAGAAAACACTCAAAACCTTCAATTGTTGTACAATTGTTCAAACACTATCGTATACTGTAGCTAGACAAACTCTATGGAACCATGCCCCTTTCTCACTCAATCATTTAATTACCCTAAATATCTACCTTTTCTCTTCCTCGTTACTCTATTCGTGTATCCAGCTATCTAAAAAAAATCCACACTTTATTTAAAAGTCAACTTCTAGTTTCAATTTATAAAAGACATAAGAACCAGTTTGTGTGTGGCAAATTTAAAGCAAATAATATGATCAAGAAATTTAAAAATCACTTTCTTAATTTCAACACATTTCACAAAACTGTGAATACTGCAAGGCTGGGAAGTCACAGTCACTGCAGGGGAGAAGATTTTTAGTGGGTGGAGTCAAGGAGCAGGGACACAGGAAAGAAAGAGCCCGCAAAAAGTCTTCATTTGGATTCCAGGGGATTTGTTATTTTTTGGAGGTTAAGATTGCAGACCAGTAAGGGGTTCAAATTAGCAGAGGCCTCTGAAGAGGATATTCAGTGTCCATAATCCATGGGAATAGATTAGAATGAAGTAGATGCTTGCGATAAAGCTGACATGGCTGGTGGCCAAGGAGCCTCAGGAAATAATTCTGACCATCCTAAGAGGCATGTATAGTTCAAAATTGTCGACTTGGTGCACTAGAGCCGAGCCCTAAAGATGTGACGCCAGCAAGGGCTACAGCTGCCACATAAAAATAAGGAACAAGGAAGTGCCCTAGAACATGGCCAGAATGACATAACTTGCAAACCACATGCATGAGCTACATGGCAAAAACATATGGCTTCCAAGACCTCAGGGCTACAACAGCCTCCCGAGGCACAGTGCTAACACACTTGCCCTGCACTTTGCAAGGCCTGGGTTTGTATCCTGGCTGGGGAGTATTGACTAGATACCAATCCTTAACTGTTTGCCTCTGCTCGCTCAGCAGTGATTGGGTACCTGGTTGTTAAACAATTGGCATGTCGTATTCCAGGAACACTAGTGGGTAAGGCTTACCATGAGCATTGGGAAGGGAATGCTCTCAGCCTGCTAACAAGAGTCAGCAGTCATCTGCTTTTGTAGCCACCTGTGTGTAAAAAAAAAAAAAAAGCCTCACACTAAGTGAGAGACAGTTTCTGCATGAAAAGCAAAACCCACTACAAAGGGCAGGAATCAAAAGGCCTGGAACTCAAAAAGTGCAGCGCCCCCCCAATGGCACGCAACCAAAATGTACACCACCATATTAATCACATCCAACTGCACAGAACTCTAAATGTATGAAACCATAAAGTACAAGAACACCCTGAGTAAAAAGGCACAGCTCACCAACAGCAGGATCCAAAATGCACACCACTCAAAAGGCACTTAACCAAACCGATAATGTCCCAACCCCGGGAGCCAGTCGGCCGAGCGGACAGCACACTGGACTTGTGGTCTTGGGTTCGATCCCAGGTGCCGGCGAGAAACATTGGGCAGAGTTTCTTTCACCCTATGCCCCTGTTACCTAGCAGTAAAATAGGTACCTGGGTGTTAGTCAGCTGTCACAGGCTGCTTCCTGGGGGTGGAGGCCTGGTCGAGGACCGGGCCGTGGTGACACTAAAAAGCCCCGAAATCATCTCAAGATAACCTCAAGATAACCCCAAATTAATAACCTAAAAATCAAACCTACAAATAAGAGAGACTGGAAACCAGAACTGAGGCAACATTCCAAAGGCACTTAACACTTTCGCGCTCCGTGGAAACTCGCGGTTGACAGGGGGATCGTGGCCCCTCCGTGCGGGTAAGCGCGCGGTGACACTCAAATGTGTATACTCGTTCCAGTTTTCTCACCTTAATTCTCGCGCTACGTCGCTCATTCTGGTATCATTGTGTTCGCAATTAAATTCTCTACAGGTGTGTATAAATATAATGTCCAAAAGCCTAGCGTGACTCCCAACAGCAAAGCGTAAAGTCGGCAAAAACGCACAAAATCAGTAACATGTGCATTCTCGTTCCATTTTTTTACCTTAATTCTCGTGCTACGTCGCTCATTTTGGTATCATTGTGTTCGCAATTAAATTCCCTACAGATGTGTATGAATAAAATGTACAAAAGGCTGGAGTGCCTCCCCGCAGAAAAGCCTAAAGTTACCCATGAACGAGCACCATTTTGTACATTGCAACCTAATGTTCAACTCGTTCAATTTGATAACATCAAATTTCGTGCTACGTCGCTCGTTTTGGTATCAAATTGTTCGCAATAAAAAGGCGATTATTTTAAAACTAGTCCCAGAATAATAGAGCAATAACTGGATTTTTAACAAATATTTTAATTCTGGACGCTAATCATCACAAATTTATTTATATCTTTCCAGTGTTCTGACATAAATATTTGTGTTACATCTTTCATTTTGGTATCAAATTGTTCGCAATAAAAAGGCGCACATTTTAAAACAAGTCCCAAGATAATAGGACAATAAATAGAATTTTAACAAATATTTTAATATTCAGACCATAGACCTATTTATAATATTTCAAGTGTTTGGACATCAAGTTTCATGTTATATCTTTGATTTTGGTATGAAATTGTGTGCAATCTAAAGGCGCTTATTTTAAAACCACTACCAGATTGATCTGATAAAATTTAAATTTTTAAAAAATATTGTAATGAGTGACTCAGTATTGCGTCGTTGGAACACATTCAGTAGAAAAATAAATGACGAATTATTCAGTCTGTGGAACGCGAAAGTGTTAACACCACTCAAATGGCACTTAACCAAACCGATAATGTCCCAACCCCAAATTAATAACCTGAAAATCAAACCTACAAATAAGAGAGACTGGAAACCAGAACTGAGGCAACATTCCAACCAGAGACAAGAATACAAGTAAACATGCACCAACAGAGTCCTCAGCCTATAAGGAAGGCAGGAAATACAAGCACTATCATACAGGGCAAATGGGGGGGGGGACCTTTGACAAGCTGCTGGCTTCCTGCCCTCATCAAGGCCACTAGTTTTAGTGGCCCTCAGGTAAATTCAGGTAAATAATCAAGGAAGGAGAGAACCAAAAAGCCTTAAAATGGACACACAAGACACCCTCAAGCAAATCCATTTACGTAACAAATATATACTGCTTTTGGTACTGGGGCTAATTTAGATGAGATTTTAAGCTTGAATGATAGAGATTTTCTTTTTGAAAACTAGTTATACACTATCCATGGTGTCATTTATACAATTGCCCTCCCTTTATCCAATACATTAGCAAGTTATACATTGTTCATGATGTTATTGTATACAATTGCCCTTCCTTTATACAATACTTAATACAATACAAGGCTTAAATTTTTTTTACAAGATGGAAACAAGGTTGAATAATAATGGGGACCTTCCTTACACAATCATACATAAGTGTTCAAAGTTTGATATCACTATCACACAAACTACAACATTTTCAAATAAAACTATAAAAATAAACAAAATAAACTTGTAAAAACTATAAGACATCCCACCAGAGAAGCCTAATAAAGAAATTTGCCATATGAAAGACAATCTTTGCCAAAACGCTTTCTTAAATTCATATCCGAAACTATCATTTCCTTTGATGAGAATTTTAACCCCCATCCCACCAGCCCTCATAACAAAGTAATCTTCCACTTAAGATTAATTTAGTACAGTACTGGGCACTAAAGGCCTCACGAGTAAAGAAATGAAAATTTCGGGTGGCAAAAAATAAACGTGTACAATAAGGGCTTTAGGTATTTACACAACTTGATCACTATCAAACAAATAATCATGATTCACTAAAATGGGAAGAGTCAATAGTATGCATGTGAGTGTGAAGATGATCGTGTGCATTAGTAACACGAGCACAAGGCTGGGTCAATTTGCAAAAATACAAAGCATTCAAATAACAGCAAACAGGAATGTCTTCAACAGTAAGAATAACGTACGTAGAGGGGTTCATCATTAGTTACATACCTAAAACGTTATGACAAAAATATAACACCCTAAATCCGAAAAGCAAACTGATTACAAGGTACTTCACCAAATAGATAAAATTGTAGAGCTCAACAGCAAGCGACGACGAGTTATTGTGTAGTTCTAACTTTCAATTAGTTATAATGAGGAAAACTGGCTTTGCTGGTGCTGTTTACTTCCAGCCGTTGTAAAAGCTCATGTGACATGCAATTATCCATAAGTTTCACATACAACATAATACGGTACTAGCCTTAGACAAATACAACTGCAATGCCGTGAATACCAATACTGCATTTACATAGACAGTCCTAAATCCAATATCCTATTTTAAATCAGTAGAGTATAGTACCGGAAACAAGGCATACTACTAAATTCGATACAGTATTTTCAACAAATTCACCCACAAATTTAATAGGCGTTAAAAAGTAATTTGTAAACATGAAAATCCTAATATCCACTATGTACATAACAAAACTAAATGTAGAAAGGCAAATTTTAATACTGTATTTTAATGAAGTGGCAATTGTCATCAGAGTACAATACTGTAGTTCCATCAGATGCACAGCACAAACTGACATCATGTAGTGGTTACAACCACATTCTAAATTTATAATGAATAGAAGTTCCCATGAAAGCCTTAACGAGAGCCTTACCACTCCGCAAACGTCTAGCTAGCAGATGTTTCTGAGAAATCAATATAATGAATACAAGTTCCCATGAAAGCCTTAACGAGAGCCTTACCAGTCCGTAAACGTCTAGCTAGCAAATGTTTCCGAGAAATCAAACACGAACTTTATAGCAGAGAATTATCTTAGCTAAATCTAGACTATTTAGACTCAAGCTCTGTAGATATTTTAAACTGTTCTACTCTTCCTTGTTATGCTTCATTCAGCTACAAAGCTGCAGTTTAATTTTTCTGAGTGGAAAAATGAGGAGACATTAAGCTCTGATCAGAATTAACACGTGAACTTTGCAAGTGATAATTCCTATCTATATTCCGTCTTATTTAGAGTACATGTACTGGCAATTCTTACCCCTTGGTAACTTTTTATGTACAAATCTTTAGTTAAAAATAAAATGCTACAAAATGCAAAACACTCACTTATATTGTCTGTCTCATTATCCTAATTTTGCAGCTACTGTATGCTCTTGTTCCCTCCAGCCTTAATTGTGGAACTATACTGTAAAAATTTAAGATAATTATCAGGCTAAATGGCTAAACCAGTATAACTAAGTCTGAACAATGTACCTTACTTTAAATTGATGTACCTCTCTTAGATCAAAGGCAGTTTGATCCAGTGTTAAATCTCAATGCCAATTGCCCCAAAACATGCCAAAAATTGTCGATACAAGAGTGTTTTCACAAAAAATCCACTTGTTCATCCCCCCCCCCAAGCTGTTAAAAGGTGGCGTTGCAGCCTGTATATTTTGACAGCGTACATTCTATATCTCAGGTTAACAGCAACAACAAAAAAAACAGCTCATTTTTCAGTGATTTAAATATCTGATATATGGTTTAGGACTGTCTCAAACGTTGAGCATCACCATCAAAGATTTTACTTCACAATCTAGCAGGTTAAGAGTACATAGACACCTTCCAATATGAAGACTTATGGGACTTAGGCTCCGTTGTTGCATGATCAACGTCATCACTAGTATCTTTGGGTTCCCATATATAAACCTAGAAAATAAAGTAAAATAAGTTACAGTATGGAAATAAAGCTACATTGAAACCTTAAGAGAAAAAAATAGTAAATAATAATAGGAAAAATAACCGAGGTTAACCATAAAGAACAAGGTATTTACAACCATGATTGGTGAGTAATCACTATTACTATGTATGTGTGCATGCATGCATGAACATATACAAAACAGAGGACCATATTTGACAACATTTCTCCCAGTTGTAAATTTTCTTCAATCAAATGTGATATAGTACTATATCTTGATTTGAGAAAACCCATGACTGAGTGAATCACAACAAATTTCCTCCAATTTTGATATTCCCCAACACATTTGCCAACAATCTCATAATTCTTCAAAAATAAAGCTTGCATTCCAACAAGATTAGGAAGAAACCTTTCTAGAAATTCAAAGATATTTAGAACGACAGACAGTTCGTTCACATTAATATATTAATATTAATATGAATATTAATAAGTACTTCATATTAAGTATAGTACAGTACTCTGTACTTAATATGAAGTGTTACAGTTAAATTATTACTAAAAATTATTTGAGAAGCAAAAGATACCCATCATTCTTACCTAACTTCATAAACAAATTAACAAGAACTTCAGTCTCAAGATATTTAACCAGCATCTTCAACAAAATATCTATTACATCTAATTTTAAATAAAAAACAAATGAAGCCTACATTAAATCAATTTATAGAAGAATAATTTACTTAAGCGGCTGTTTAACAGAACCGGATGAAGCAATGTTCTGAGTACCAGTACTTGATTATCTTGAGTTACTGATATATTAAACAAGGAATTTGTTTCTCCTGACTGTTGTGGCCTTTCTTGCCATTACTGTAGCTTAAACACAACAAATTCAATGTACACACACACAAATAACTAGATACAATACTATTTTCTCCCTCTTTTAGCATTATGGCATGAAAATGCTATTACAGTATTCAGCATAGCATCAAAATGCAAGCATTTTCTGAATGTTTAACAAACACAAAGAAAGTACTGTACTGGAAAATTTATTGCGTGGATGTATTACAGCAGACGCTATCATGCGTACAGGTAATTCCAAGAACTAATCATCCCTATCCACAAGCACATGTCATACAATATAGATGAAAACAAGTTGTCAAAGCCACTTATACAGTGCCGTTATCCTTAAGACCTCTCTTTTTGAACCCTTCAACTTTAAACTTTCCCTTATTACTCTTTATTCCTAAAACCTTCCTTTTAAACCCCCCTTACCTTTAAACTTTCTCCCTTTTCACCCTTTACTTTTACTTTTTGTTAACCTACTCCACTTTACTGGAGAATGAACAAAATTAAAAACCTTCTAGCTAACTAATTTACAACACCATAATGTTGAAATGGTTAACCATAAAGGCATGGGGCGGTAGAGGAGAAACACAGATGTTAAACACGGGGGCAACTGACCTGTCCATCCACGGTGAGAGCAGCTGTGTGGTGGGACCCGCACACCACCTTGGTGACCCCCATGTGATTCAACGTTACCACATTGGTTGGAGTCGACCTGTGGCTGAGATCACCGAGGCCAAGCTGACCCTTGTTAGCAGACCCCCACGCCCAAACCTGTTAAGTAAAATGTAAGTAAAATGTAAATGTAAAGTAAAATGTAAGTAAAATGTAAATGTAAAGTAAAATGTAAGTAAAAATATAAGTAAAATGCACATTCTGTAAAGTGAAAAAGAGCTACAAAATTGCACATGTCTAGTACACATTACAACTCCTTTCTAATCCAAATATCCAGTTAGTTTTTGTTATATAATATCCAATAGGAAAAGTATTTGGGGGAACATGAATCCCACCTGTTAACAGTTAAGCATTCCGACGATAAAATGCATCATCTGTAACCTGATAGTAAATGTTCCAATGTTAAAATGCATCATCCATCTCAAAATTTAAAAAAATTCCCTTTTATAATTGTTTTTTCTTGAGCACATTACAGACATAACTAATCAATGGACCAACCAAAGTATAAGGGGTATCATTCAGAGTGTGTATGCAAGAAAACCGAATAAAAAAACTAGTTATAAACAAATGGCACAAGAGAAAACAATAAACAAGGATCGCACGAGGAAATCAGCATTCACCGACTGGAAAATACAGCATTTGAGTGGGTGTGGTGCAAAGTGCAATACTCTGGTTCACTGTGAATTTCTTACTGCTTTGGTTGAGCTTCTACTGAAGCTCATGCCAACAGCTCGGTAAATCACTAAGAAGTGCTCTTTCCATAACACGCTAAATATTACAGTAGTCAAATTTTAGTCACTTGCATTCAATTAATGTAATACTGTATAAAATCAAAGTAGGGTCATGTTTTTGTTTTTAAACATCACAAACAAATTTAGACCAGACCACACACTAGAATGTGAAGGGACGACGACGTTTCGGTCCGTCCTGGACCATTCTCAAGTCGATTGTTTGTGACAATCGACTTGAAAATGGTCCAGGACAGACTGAAACGTCGTCGTCCCTTCACATTCTAGTGCGTGGTCTGGTCTTCATACTTTAGCCATGTTATTGTGACTCATCGCCTGCACAAACAAATTTAATTACATTTCTGACAATCTGACATGTCTGAGACGGTGTTAACCATGTATGAAACATATACTGAACAGTACAACACTTACCTCTGTATTTAAAATATTACGTCCGCCATCAATGATGAGACTTGTGTTTTTGGCAACTTGTTCTGGTCCTTTCTCGAGGGTCAGGACACCATTCTTGCCAACTTTTGGAAAACTTAGACCCCCAGACGCTGTTCGCATGTGTGTTTTTTTACGACATAATTCGTCAGAAAGTCGACGTGGAAGACTGTTACACTCATAGGAGTCACTTTTACTCATTTTTGGTTTAGGTGCTTTATCATAGAATGCATCTAAACTGAAAGGATCCGAGTCTGGCGTGAGATCGTGCAGTTCGCCATCTGCACATTCACTGCTGCTAAAATGACGTGACAACTGGCCCACTTTATCACTCACAGTTCGCACACCTGTAGCTACAAGACTCGCTGCACTGTTTGCTGCACTTGCTACATTTTCTTTAATAAGCTCTGTAGCACTGTCTATGTGATACTTATTATTGATTCTCTCATTTTCCATAATGCACTCACCCTGTTCTACACTTGTTGCTGTCATCCACGATAACTGTCTAGATATAAATTGTCTAGCGGCATCAGCATTTATGAATAAACTACTACTACCTGTTGAACTCAACTTCCGTCTCCCAGCATCTCCTCCCATATCGGTTTCATCATCAGTACACTCAACAACTTCAAAATCACTACATTCACTCTGTTTATGTATTCGAGCCATATCTTTTAACTCGATTCCTGTCCGTAATTCAACTGGAGTATTTAATGCTGTTCCATCACAAGACACTTCTCCTGATGTTGGATCTAATTCATCTGCCACATAATCTGATGACTCACCATCTTCGTGGAACGCACTATTTCGAGACGATCTACCGTCCATGTTGACACTACTAGGAGCCGGCGATAAAATGTCAGATCTTCTGTCTGGGGTGAAATATTCTTTTCTTACTGCCAATCCTAAAGGACACTTATCGAATTCGTCTGCATCCTCAAAAAGAACACGATCTCCAGTCTCTCGCCGGCACTGCTCACACGATCGCACATACGAGTCAAAGTCTGGAAGTGCGTCTGACTCGGCTGTGTTGTCATGGTGAACAGGAGGCAAAGCCTCTATGAGAGAGACTGTAAAGTAAGCTCCAGCTTCTATTTGCATTACCCTTCTTCCCTTGAAGAAGTTGACACGGGCTGGGTTCGTAATCTCATTCTCAGTTTTGTTTGTGAAGAGCCCTGATGAAATAGAATACTGTAGTAGTAATTCATTCAGCAAATAAAATATACAGTACCTCACATGCACTTATAATAGAGATATGCAGCTCTAAAAACCATTTAGAAGGTATTGCTCACTGTACTTCCCGGCATTGTTATTATTATCATATCTACAAAATCTATTGACTTGCAACAGGTTATCAGTGTTAAAATAAATTAACGAACCTAGAGCTGGTCCCCGTCCCTGGACCCATATCTCGTCTTGAGCGCTTAGGAATAATATATGATCATATCCGGCTGCTACTGCTCGAACGCGAACCTTCCTCCCTTTCTCCTCCTGGCCATGAGTGCAGGTCTTCTTCGGCTCCAGGACAGGCAAGGGGCGAACTTCACCGCCTTCCAAGTCCCGTGTGTACACTTCCCCTGCATCTGTGATGAACACCACCTGGCCTCTGTACACTGTTGCATCGCGGACACATCTGCTGCCAAGCTCAACCTAAAAGAATTTGTTTTTTTTTGCATCCATTCATGTTTAGAGTAACCAATTACAGTACAGCGACACCTCGGCTTATGAATGCCCCTCTTTATGAACTTTTCAGGTTACGAGCCCAATTTCTTCATAAAATCTGAAATGGGTTTCGAACTTTGTCTCGGGTAACGTAGTTTGTTGATACACGTATGGCAGACTTAGCACTTGGTGGCATGGCAACCGTGCCTCGGTTTACCAGTGCCTCCTGCCTAATGACAATCGCATCTGAATTCTTTGTAATGAATTTTAGTGTTTTTTGAATTTTTGGGTATTGAACATAAAAGTTATTATTATATATCTCGCTATGGGTCCCAAGAAAGCCAGTGATAAAGTTCAATCCAAGAAAACACCTGTGAGGATGACCATAGAGCAAAAAAAAAAGAGATAATTCATAAACATGAAAATGGTGCACAGGTTGTTGAACTAGCTAGGCAGTACAACAAATCTATCAACAATATGCACTGTACTTGCTAAGAAAAAGAACATTATGAGTCCTAAAGTGGCAAAAGGCATATCAATAATCATGAAACAAAGAACACAAACACTTGAGGATGTTGAATTATTAATATTAATTTGGATACACAACAAGGAGTTAGCAGGTTAGCTATTGCATGAAGACTTTTTAAAGAAAACGGACGGAACAAGCGATGCAGATACAAAATATTTTAAAGCGAGCAGGGAATGGTTTGAGAAATTTAGAAAAATAAGTGGCATTCACAGTGTTGTGAGAGTTGTGAATGTTGTGTGTTGTGAGTTGGTGGAGGAACACAGCGAAGAACTGACCACCAAAGAAATCCCTTCAAAAGGAGCAGCAACCAGAGGCAGCTGAGGAAATTTCTTCATGGGAGGAGGAGGCAGTACAGAATGTCCCTTCCTCAACAATCAAGAAGTGGTGTAGACTATGGGAAGAAATGCAAACTTTTGCTGAAACGACTCACCCAGAGCAAGCTGTAGTAGGCCGTTGCCTTAACCTCTTTAATGACACTGTGATGCCTCACTACAGACACATGTTACAATGTAGGGAAAACAAGTCTCTATGGAAAGGTTTTTAGTGAGAAAAACAAGAGAGAGCCACAAGCAGGGCCTAGTGGTATGCAGGCAAAACGTGCCAGAGAGAGTACCCCAGAGAAAAACACTAACATCTCTCCTCCTTCCCCCTCTTCATTGTCTTCCATATGCCAACAAGTCATCAATAAAAGTAAGCAATAACTTGTACATACTTTAGTACTGAAGATTTGGGTGAATCAGGTATAAAATTTACTTTGAAGTTAATATTTTTGGGAGTGTGGAACGGATGAATTAAATTTACATTATTTCTTATTGGAAAATTCGCTTCAGTTTACAAATTTTCGGGTCAAGAACCGTCTCTGGGAAGGGATTCCTAAGCTGAGGTACCACTGTATAGAATGTTTTAGTTTGGTAGAGAGCAATAACCAATAAAATCAAAATAGTTTCCATCTATGTAAGAAACATATATGCAACACAGTACATTCAAAGCTAATAATTGTCATGTTAATACAAATTTGTGATTTCATAAAACTGTTATACAGTATTATTGTACATAGTACACTACTGTACACAGTACTATAGTACTGCACACAGTAATGTATATTCAACATACCCAAGAAATATATAAGAAGAATATATTATTATTCTTTATTCCAATTCCTTTCTTATTCCAAGAAATAAGTATATTCAACATACCCTTTCACTCCCAAGAAATAGGAAATATAAAAGCATCATGTACACAAACCTGCTTTAAACTGCCCCTTTCCTGACCAGCATATTGGCCAATATATAACCTGCCGCCAGCTGTCACAAACACTGTCGTTTCTCTGGAAGCCGCAACCCTAATGACTGTCTCGGTAGGCACAATTAGCATGTTCCTGGGGTCCCCTCCCCTCCACCCATACGTCGCTACCATCGTACACTGAAAAAAAAAAAAAAAAAATTGACAGTTGTCAGGCAGTCAACATTTTTACTTGTACACGTGCAATAATACTTTCTGTACTCTGGTGCATAAAAATTTGATAATCCAAACGAGGTTGGTACCCGGCCATGTCCTAACGTAGATTGGCGTGTAAGGAGTGACACCTCACATACTTTATTATAGGGATGTTGAAATGTGATGAAGGGAAGGGGAATTACGAGGGGAAAGTATTAAACCAGTAAGACTATATACCACTAGGAAGGGTTATGGGGGACAAGAAGCTGGATGGAGGGAAGAAGTGGTGCCTAACTACTAAGATCATCAGGGATTTAATGTCAACCTGTAAGAATTGAAACCATCGCTGTACCGACCAATCCATGTGGTTGGGCACCTGGAGTGTGAGCGGTGACATTGGACACATGGCTAAAACTATTACTGAATAACACAGCAGAAACATTCACCATTTAACACACCTGTCATTACTTATGTGACTAGGCACAGCTATGAAAACATAAACAAATCGCTCTGCTCTTCTTTACTTAATTGAATAAGTCAGTTATCTGACACAATAAGAGTTAACTACCACCCTGCTTAAATTCACCTCCAGGATATCTCCAGTACCACCTTGCTTCCATACCAGTCAGGCAAACACAATACAATTCAACGTTACTTACAGATATTTGCATTTCACACAGTAAACATTGTACAGTACTACCTGTGAGGTAAACCACAAAAATAAGTGCACACAGCCAGAGAAATTTATCTTATCAGTCACGTCACTGAACATCCATTAATCTCTTGATATCTTTTAATTAAAGGGCTCAACATAGCAATTTATTTTTAAAAGGACAAAACTTGACAAGAGTTCATCCAAGAGAATGTATTGGACTTTATTCTACCTACAGTAATATATCCTTGCTCCAGAACTCTGCAGGACATTTATCTCAAGTTCAGCCTTACACACTTCTATACTATCTATATTATACATTCAATATATGTACTAGACGAGGTACCCAGTGCTTGGGACAACCCAATGTCGGGGGTCAACCCAGTGTCTGGGGTAAACCCAGTCCTTGGGATCCATCATTATTCTACTGAAAAAAAAAAATGGATGATAAATAATGATAATAAATGAGAACGTATATATTATAAGCAGCAATATAAGCAGTATATAAAAAGATTACACATCTCATAAATGATACAGATCAGCACATTTTAAACAAAAGACATTATGAGCACACATCATATAGAGTAGACAAATTACAAACACATCACATATAGAAAACAGATTATGAACACACCTCATAGGTAATAGATTTCAGGCACTCATATACACAGTAACGAGATTATGAACACACCTCATAGGTAATAGATTTCAGGCACCCATATGCTGTACACAGTAACGAGATTATGAACACACCTCATAGGTAATAGATTTCAGGCACCCGTATACACAGTACCGAGATTATGAACACGCCTCATACATAGCGTACAGATAATAGGCCTAAGCATACCTCATAAACAGTAAACAAGTAATTATTAAAAGAAGGCACCAAGCCAGGGAGAATATGTTGCAAAAACAATAAACAATTTTTGAATACTGTACTGTATAAACACATCTCATAAACAACTAATTATGAGATACAGTATCAAAAGTCCTGTACAGTAATGACTTTTTACACAACTGAATTAATGCTGAATAAATAAAACAGTTTAAGACTATGAAATGACTTATTTAATTATCATCACTACACTTCTTCATTTTTAACTTCATGAAACTGATAAGAAGTGAGAATATCCACACAATATAATACTCTAATTATAATGCCTTCAATTCATGTTTAGTGAAAGTGATGCAACACATCCTCAAAGCACAAATACTTTATACATAAGAAGTATGTAATCATTCATACTTTGAAACAAAGCCAAGATCTTTGCATCTCCAGTGAATTTTATAGTAATACATGACTAACACTTTTGAGTCATGGTTAGCTGCCACCTGAGGCCCAGACAGCAATGCACCCATGCATGAAATAAAGAAAACACAATGCTGGGACTTATAGTAAGTAACAGAAACATGAATAATATCATTCAGCTTTACTGTATCTAACAATGATGAGGTCCCACTTGGACTATACAGTGCAGTTCTGGTCACTGCACTATACAATAAATAAGAACATAAGAACATGAGAATAAAGGTAACTGCAGAAGGCCTATTGGCCCATACGAGGCAGCTCCTATTTGTATCAACACTAGAGAAAATAGAGAAAATAGAGAAAATAGAGAAGGATGACAAGGAAGCCAGCTGGTATCTGGGACCTTTCCTACAAGGACAGATTGAGCTGTCTCGATCTGTACTCACTAAACATGCAGAACAAGGGGAAAATACGACACGTTTTCAAGTTGATTAGGTGAATAAATAAAGAGGATATAAATGAGGTTATGGAATTGCCATAACGAGTCAGAACCTGCAACATTGGGTACAAGTTGGATACATTCTAAGAGGAATGTAATTAAATACTTTTTTGAATATTAGAGACAAGTGGAATAGCTTGCCAGCTAGTATTATTTAGACAAACAGTTTAACAGGATTTATGAATAGATTGGTCAGATATGTGCTAAAGGATGGATTTAAATGGGTTTACTGTAGTGCTCCCTAATTCTTATGTTCTCCTTCTTTAAATATAACACAAATCAATTTTCTTACAATGTATATTCTCTGGCTTACTCCATGGACACCATTCACTCCATCAACACACACTAGCATCATAGGAAACTAGTGCAAGACTTGTAAATTAACACAAATTTAAGTACTACAGTATTCCAATAGCTCGGGAGGGACAGAAATGATTCAGCACATTTTCTTTCACCTTATACATCTATTTATCTAACAGTAAATAACCCAAGAGTTAGGCAACTGCTGTGGGATTGCATCAAAAGGAGGGCTGGTAATTGACCTAGAGGGGTCCTTGGTAAGCCTAAGTACAGGCTTCCTGTACCTGATAACAGGAATTATACATTGCATGTCTATGAACTATATGAATGACTGTGTCATTCTTTTCATATTTTTGAATAATATAACAGTAGACTTTAAGAAAACTGTAATAGATTCACATTTCTTATACTACTGTACTCTAAGAAAATCATTTTTGGGCAATGAAGTTACTTGAACCTGCATTCTGGCGATTCCCAGACACTTGCCTTAACCCACTCAGCCACGATAGGCCAAGCCTATTGTCACGTGAATCCCCCGCATAGCAGTGGAACTGCCTTTTCCCTTCACCTTCAATGCCTCTGTACTGGAAGTCTACATCTACACCAGCCCAGATGAGTCATCAGTCCTGCCACCTCTCCATACCCCCCAGGGCCTGGCACGGCCTGATATGGCTCAGAGGCAAGCCGGGCGCCTCTCCTAACTGGTAGTTGCCCCCACAAACAAGCAGTTAGCCGCCTTCAACTGGCAGTGGTGCAGCTCAACACAAAGGCACCACCAGCCACAAACGAGCAGTTTGCTAGTTGACCAGATGTCCACCTTACATTGACACCGGATGAGTCATCACTGCCAGACTATATAAAGGGCACCGCCTCCCTGGAGAGGCAGTCTCTCTCTTAGTGCTCTTGGAACACCTTGGTTTCTGTCACCCGTCGTCTGCCTTCAGCTAACGCCGTGTGTCTGATGCGGTGGTGCAACCCGTTCTCGCAAATTTAATAAGTCAATATTGACTTATTAAATATGTGCATAGGTGACATACTTAACATAATAGATACCCTTAAAAAGATTCATAGAAAACACCGACCTTACCTAACCTTGTTAGTATCTTAAGATAAGCATCTTATTGCTTCGTAATTACAATTATTACCTAACCTATAATAGGTATAGGTTAAGTAATTATTGTAATTACGAAGCAATAAGATGCTTATCTTAAGATACTAACAAGGTTAGGTAAGGTCAGTGTTTTCTATGAATCTTTTTAAGGGTATCTATTATGTTTAGAATATCACCTATGCACGTAGTTAATAAGTCAATATTGACTTATTAAATTTGCGAGAACGGGTTGGGTGGTGGTATGGTAGTTGTCTTCAGTACACCAGTATATCTTTATGCTTTGTATTAATTGCTTACGGTTTATTTCTGTATTAATGTCATATTATCTAGCTCACCTTTGCATTACATAATAGCCAAGTATTTTCATGCCAATTTTGTTCATTAATATTTCAGTAAATTGTTTTAATTATTTATTTTATGATTTTCATTTGTTTCCATCTGCGACTTACACACTGCAAGGCCAATAGCAGCATTTTTTTTTTATTTATGTGAGAGAGAATCATACCATCTTGGTTCAGTATAGCTGCGATACCACAACCCGTCACACTATAACAAAATTTATTTTCTCTTTGATATATCACACCACTGTTATTTCTTTGTGTACTTGTGTACTGTACTGTACTTCACCTAGTGCTATTATCCATTGTGGTAATAATAATTTCCAATGTTGAGGACAACTTTATAACTAGGTCCTCCTCCATCCTCTTTAGATTAAAGTACTAACCATCTCCAGGATGCAACTCACAGTGGTTGCCTAACACCTAGGTACCTATTTACTGCACAGTGAGCAGAGGCATCAATTTCTGATCTGCCCAGCATTCTAATCCGGGATCCTCAATCGAGTCAAGAACACAAGACCACTGTACTACATAACCCATAAATGTACAGAGTGGGAAGACAAGCTGGACACCCCTGACAGCTAAAATAAAAAATACTGCTCAACACATGAAAGAATTTATTAAATAGTGACATTGGCATATAATTCAAATTGATACAAAATGGATTGATTTAATTTGAGTGATCAACTTTTAACTAGATTTCCCAGCCACATAGTGAGTTTCAAGTTAGCTAGTTTGTATTTGCTTTGCTCTTTAAACAAAATACTAATGGAAGCAAAGATAAATAGTGTGGAATCTTAAACTCGCATGTCTTAATAATAATTTGCAAGAAAATGCATGACACCATTTATACTACAGAGGCTCTTAAATTATGGCTGTGCTGACTGAACTTCCAGTCCATTTATGTTACAATTCAGTCGATTAGTGATGGAGAGAGTGTGAGGAGTGAGGCAAATGAGACCGCCCCTCAAGGTTGACCCTCGCCACTTCTCACCACTCATGCATTTACTCCCTCATCGCCGCCCTCGCCAGGCTGGAGGTCATGGTGTGGTGGGCACACAGGACAAGGCAACTGGGTGCAGTAGGGGGCTCCTCACCTCGATATGTTAGTCATGGAGAAGACAAAACGTCAGCCTCCTACGTCGTCTGTCTGGGGCTCACTCTCGCCTCCTCTCACTGTTGTCCCCACCGGTATTCAAGATAATATATTTCACAATACATATACCCCCATAACTGCCTTTAAAAATACAGCATACACAGTATATTGATTATTCTGTAAAACTCTAATGTTCTAGATTGTAAATATTTGTCATTCTTTGCTAGAAACTTAATTGATAATCTAATTACACAATATAATTTTTATCAGCGGCGCAGATGGGGATTATATATAGTCTTTATGGTTTTGTTTGTATTAAATTATTTTTTTGTTACAGTCAGCGTTAACGTGGTAGATATTTGCATATTAAGAGTGCAAAAAGTTATGTATATTGTATAATCCTAATAATTAGACGGAGTCTCTTTGACTTGCGGCTCGGCTCACCTGACTGGAAAACATCATATAAATAGAAATTATTTGACCACGTTGTGCTATATCATCCACCAATCTCTTAAAAAACGCCTGAGGAATTATTTGCCGCGGTGTATAACGAACTTTGGGCATTTTTATAGGTAATATTTGTTGGGTGAGAAGAGGAACCAAGGAGAAGGTCGGTGTGAGGATCAGTTCCACCTGGGACGACTATGGAGAACTGTTGACTGTCTGGCTGGCTTTTTCTGGGTAAATGGTACCGTTTCGCTGGAGTATTTCCGTATTGAGTGTCTCCGTGGGCGGCCATATGAGCCAGTGGGTGGTGTGGGCGTGGTTGCGGGGCGGGTCAAGGGGGGGAACACAGGGGTGGGTGGTGTGGGGCAGGGATTGTTTACAGTGGGTGAAGACCCAGCCCTTTTTCCCTCTCCCCCCCCCCACACACATACATGGGCTGAAGCCCACCTGGCTTACTGTCCCCGCCCTCACCACCCACACCCTGCCAGCCCACACCCGCTGCTGGCTGCGTGTGTGGCCCATGCTGGGGCGTGGGCGTGTGTGGCCCATGCTGGGGCGTGGGCGTGTGTGGCCCATGCTGGGGCGTGGGCGTGTGTGGCCCATGCTGGGGCGTGGGCGTGTGAGTCCCGGGTCATATAGGCGAGTATTGACACCATGTGTGTGTGTGGCAAACGTTACCTCTCACCTAAGATAAATAAAAATCTAATGAATTATCCTGTTGATTTGGGTGACTTTTAGCACAGTGGTAATGCATATTGACATGCTAGCATACCAGCCACAGTTATAAAAAAACAAGAAATTGCAGAAGGCTCATTGACCCGTGCAAGGCAGTTCCTATTTATATAACAAGAATGTAAGAACTCTTGTATATATATATATAAACAAACAACAAAAATCCAAGCACAATCACCCCGCGGTTCGATTCCCGCACGAGGCAGAAACAAATGGGCAAAGTTTCTTTCACCCTGAATGCCCTGTTACCTAGCAGTAAATAGGTACCTGGGTGCTAGTCAGCTGTCGCGGGCTGCTTCCTGGGGGTGGAGGCCTGGTCGAGGACCGGGCCGCGGGGACACTAAAGCCCCGAAATCATCTCAAGATAACCTCAAGATCTCAAGATAACCCATATATTTATGTAATCTATGCCTAAAACAATTCAGCAACCCCATGTGTATTTTGTTGCCTGGCAAATAATTCCATAAATCATTGCCAAAACATTGCTGAGTTTAAAAATCCAGCTCGATAAAGTCATCCGGACAAATGTGGGGGAGGGGACCTTTGACAAGCTGCTGGCTTCCTATTCTCATCGAAGCCACTAGAGAGGTAGTGGCCCTCAGTGAATGGTCTTATTCTCTTATTGTGTTGGTATACCAGTGTGTGTATGTATTGGTATATGTGTGCATGTATTGGTATGTGTGCATGTATTGGTATATGTGTGTATGTAGTGTGTGTATGTATTGGTATATGTGTGTATATAGTGTGTGTATGTATTGGTGTACCAGTGTGTGTGTGTATGTCTTACAGACATAGGAAGTCTGTAAGGCATATTGAGGTCTAACGGGGTGAGAATAGCTCGAGGTACGACATCCTTTTGTGTGTATTTATACCTCAATAAACTTATTTCAGTTTCAGTATTGAGGTCTCTGTATCCAAAAGCATTGTTGTCTACATAGTTACCTGTCTAGTTTCTATCCAGACCCAGCAGTGTTTAACCTGATCATGTACACACACAATCTACATTGGAAAAAAAGACTTGTAACTGTATTATTATAAACCATTGTCACTACGGAATGCATTTTGATAATACACAAATTAGAATCTCCCCTGAATTTACTCGAGGGGCTACTCTCTCTAGTGACCTGAAGAGGGACAGGACCCTTCTGGCTTCTGAACAAATTCTACCTAAATATTGAATAACCGACTTCGTCTAGACTCTAGATGAAGTCGGCTCTAGACACAAAAAGATGTTGCCTTCTTGGCATCGTCTTTATGGTGGAAAATGTAGGAAGGAAATCATAAAATTGTAATGGTAGAAGGTGGGGAAGGAGAGGGAGCCTACATAAAGTCTCACCACGTGATTGCCAATGGCATCGATGCCACCTGGTGGCAAATGGGAGAAACCATTCAGATCGTTTGTTTTTATTAATGTAATTCTGCACTTTTCCAGGGCATATATCTGCAGGAATTTGGGTGTCATAGCCTCCTTTCATTTTTTAGGAGGGGTTGCCTAAGTGTTACATTAATCTCAAATTTCCAAGTGTTACTTGCCTTGTTGATGTGACAAAGGCTGTCATCCTCAGTAGGCAGTGAGTCTTGCAGAATCCTAGCATTAACTAGTCTGACAAGTAGCGACACGAATAAATATTCTGGGAGCTATTGAGACTAGGTCCAGAAAGAGGCATTCCGTTATGCTCAGTGCACTTTTTTTTTGAGGCGGGGGGCTCAAACATATTATATTTTAACTAATTGTTATTGATTGTTATTAAGTGTTTTTGGTTTTAACTTGATAATTTTGTTTCTTATTGACAGGTGTGAAAGAGAGAAGGGAAGATGTCATCTGGCCGTCCCATTAAGTGTGTGGTTGTGGGAGACGGTACCGTGGGCAAGACCTGTATGCTTATATCCTATACCACAGACTCCTTCCCTAAAGAATACGTCCCCACAGTGTAAGTGGTTATGATATATTTGCAGCTTGAATTCTGAACTGAGCCATAGGCATTTCCTGACATAGTTGTGCTTCGGGTGATGCAGTCTGAGAAATTATATTTTCACAGCTATACCTGTCCTAGTGGTAATTTAAGATTTTTACAATTAATAGGAATGATACAATATTATCAATTATACAAAACATGAACGATGAAATATACTGTACAAGAAATAGACTGTATGACTATTTAAAGAACATTGCCACAACATTATGGTACATACAACACTGCCCTAGTACTAGCCACTATAGTCACCAAAAGCTTTGATATTGTACCATTGTATTAATATCTCAGGCCAAATTTTTTGTTCATAGTAACTACATTGTCCAGCAGTGTATGGTGAGAATCTGCATAGATGGCACCACAAGCAGGTGACAGTCGGTTAATAATTCTGTGATAGACAAAGAAAGTCAACCCAATTTTTCCACTGAGTTATTGTCCTAGAACCTAAGTAGTTCAACAACATGAAATAATTCATACACTGTCCATGAGTAAATGTTCAGCGACAACTGAAAGCAATCCAGTAATTATCGATGACGCCTTTTTGTTAAAATGGGGTTTTCAAGTTAAAAATTTTGTTTACCGTTTTTAACGTCTTCTGTGATATCTTGAACAGTCAGGTGTTATATGCTGTAATACTCTACTGCATATACATAGCACATGCTATCAACAGCCATTCCTGGACATACAATTTTATTTCTTGATTTATTTATTATTTATCCCTTCCTCCATTTTCATTCACTCTCATTTTATTTTTGAACAGAATTATGTTTGTCTTATAGACACTATTTAGAAACTCACTAAAGACACCTAGCATCCAAGTTATATTATTTTACATTTCATTAACCCTGTAGTATAAATGTAGGGTTTTGTGTACCCTACCTTACTGGGAGTTTCTCAAGATTGTTAAAGGTTTTCACTTAAGTCGGAACTTGAAATATCATCTAATTTCAGTACTGTACCTGGCAAGATATTACAGAGGGTGTGTGTGCATGTTCTACATTTTTTTTCTATAAATTTTGATTTGAACTAAATGTTCTTATCTTCGTTATAATAAAATATTAGGGGGTTAAAGGACTAAACATTAGGGGGTTAAAGGACTAATAATGTTTAATGTATGATTTCAGCTTTGACAATTACTCGGCACCAATGGTAGTGGATAGCATTCCAGTAAGTCTGGGGCTCTGGGACACGGCGGGGCAAGAAGACTATGATAGATTGCGACCGTTATCTTATCCACAGGTCAGTTTACCTTTGTATTCAGCATCTAATACAAAGAGGAGTAAGTACAGTACTGTATTCCAAATGCCCTCACCTCGTATTGTTATGAGATTAATTCCCAGAAATCAATTGGCTCATGAATAAGATTTTCTTGATGGTAGATGATAAATGATGCTGTAATCTGAATGTTTATATACGGAACATGTAACAACAGTGTACCTGTTTATATACATGTAACAACAGTGTACCTGTTTATATACATGTAACAACAGTGTACCTGTTTATATACATGTAACAACAGTGTACCTGTTTATATACATGTAACAACAGTGTACCTGTTTACATACATGCAACAACAGTGTACCTGTTTACATACATGCAACAACAGTGTACCTGTTTATATACATGTAACAACAGTGTACCTGTTTATATACATGTAACAACAGTGTACCTGTTTATATACATGTAACAACAGTGTACCTGTTTATATACATGTAAGTCATGTAAGTACTGCTTCATACTGAATCTCGCGAATATCCATTTAGAATCATCTTCCAGCTAGAGTATGAGCCATGTGTGAGATGCACTGAATGTTATCTCAGTGCTTTGTCTGATAAGCTAAAAATGTGAAGAGTGATTGTAAATAATATTACCTTTCCCTTTTCATAGACAGATAATAATATAATCTCATATCAGCAAAACACTGACTTAATTTATCTTATATTTGAAGCCTATCTGTGCGCTATTGCTGTTCAGTATTGTATATTCTTTATTATTATTATTTTTATTTTTAATCCTGATTGTAAATGTTCAGGGCTCCCCGGGCTGCTCACATGCCTCTCAGCAATGTGAATTTTTTTACAATCGTTGTACATTTTCCAGGTTATTTGTTAAGTTATAACTATAAATTTGGTGTCAAAATGTTGAGAATTGAATTCTTTGGAGAACAAGTGTATTTATAATAGATTATACACAACAGCGATGAATGTATGAATGCTTATGAATAGCAGTCGGATCATGCATTTTAGCGTCATCGGAACATTTACTTTTGGAGTATAGATGACATGTTTTAGTGTCATTGGAATGCAAAAGTGTTGTCATTTTCAGTGTCTATTGTTATACTTTTTCATAATATTAACATAGCAATTGTCCACATTGTGTAATTATTAGGTTATAGTGTTCAAACTTTTAAGTACAGTAAAAACACTATGTGCAGGAGGAGACCTTATTGACATTTTACTCTCACCAGCTTTCCTTCCTAACATTTTCTTTGATCTGTAACCACCCACCCACAGTAGTTGTCCCTGCCTCTACCACCCACCCAGCCACATCACCTGTCCCTACCATCCATCCATTCATCCACCCACATCACCTGTCCCTGCCTACCATCCATCCACAGCAGCTATATCCCAAACCTGGGTCGGGCTTGGGGAGTAGAGTAACTCCCAAACCCCATCCAGGTACAATCCAGGTATCCCTGCCACTCACTTATCCACAGGTACCATTTGGGAGATTAAATACTCGAATCAAGGAGAGAGAGAGAGAGAGAGAGACCTAGGGGTTGATATCATGCCAGGCCTGTCCACTAAAGCCCACATCAAGAGGATATCATGAGCGGCATATGCTTGTTGACTAACATATGAACTGCCTTTTAGAACTTGTGTAAGGAATCATTTTGAACTTTATAGTGCATACCACATATGTCAGACCAATCCTGGAGTATGCAGCTCCAGCATGGAGTCTGTATCTAGTCAAGTACAAGACTTAATTGGAGAAAGTTCAAAGTATGCCATCAGACTAGTACCCAAGCTGAGGAGTATGAGCTATGAGGAGAGGCTACGGGAACTGAACCTTGCATCACCAGAAGAAAGAAGAGTTAAGGGAGACATGATCATCATAATCAAAATTCTCAGAGGAATTGATAGGGTAGATAAAGACAGTTTAATACAGGTGATACACACAAAAGGAACATAGGTGGAAACTGAGTACCCACATGAGCTGTAGAGACATAAGGAAGAACTTCTTTAGTGTCAAGAGTAGCCAACAAATGGAATGCACTAGGAAGTGATGTGGTGGAGGCGGACTCCACACACAGTTTCAAATATAGATATGATAGAGCCCAGTAGGCTCAGGAATCTGTACACCAGTTGATTGATGGTTGAGAGGCGGGACCAAAGAGCCAGAGCTCAACCCTTGCAAGCACAAGTATGTGAGTATAACAGCTGTCCCTACCACCCACCATATGCACACCTTTACACAATTTCAATCTGATAAATCAAGCATGTAATATGCAACTTTGATAAGACGGAGAATGTACAGTAATATTTTTTTACATTCGCTACTTAGTTTATGTAGCACGTTCATATGTAACACGCCTGCTATGTTGTATTGTACTGTCACAATTTACATTTTGATCTGTTGTACCCTTTGCATCTCACACACCAATACCTTCCTGTTTTTTTTTTTTTCTAGACCCTGAATTTTTGCATTGCTTTAGGTCTGTGACTGATTATGTCCTCTGTGAGGACACGTATAAGAGGATGGGTCCTTTGCCCACTTGGCCACAGGGGGATACAAGAGTGGTTGTATGTGAGTGGGAGTGGTTGGTCATAAGGTTCTCTTGTATCACACTATCTCATAATGGTCCAGGACGGAGCAAAACGTCGTCGCTTATCCATCTTCTCGCGTGTGGTTCGGTCATTATGAGGTTCTTTCATCACTGTGCCACTTCATCCCTGTGCTGCTAAAAAAAGGGTTAAGAGATCATTGATACTGTTACATTAAATTGTTTCATTATGTCTTGTTCATAATTATGTAGTTTATTTTTAAATATAATACACAAGTTATTCCAGTGAGGCCTGATATTAGTTTTAATCTTTTTCTCTTTGATTCTCTAGACGGATGTGTTCTTGATTTGCTTTAGCGTGGTGAGTCCGTCCTCCTGTGAGAACGTCACCTCTAAATGGTATCCAGAAATTAAACACCATTGTCCAGATGCTCCTATAATTCTCGTTGGTAAGTCATTGCCCTTTATGAACACTTTGAAAGAAGTTAATTTGTTCATGCCTCATGGCTAGTTTAGCTACAGTATGGTTCTCCTTGTGAAACCATTGGTCTGTATATAATTTGAATGCCTTTAAAGATTTTAAAACAGCTTTGAGTTTTTTTAGTTGAGTGTTTAATTGGTAGATTTTAACAATGAAGCTGATATACCTGTAGGTGCAGATGCATTACAAAACATAATCACTTCTATGTGTAACAAAAAAAATTACAAAATGATTTTTAAAGCCAGTGATACCTGGGTAACATAATACAGTAGTATAACTGGATTGTTTCAAGTGTGGGTAAGACATATATATACCTTGAGGTGCTTCCGGGGCTTAGCGTCCCCGCGGCCCGGTCGTCGACCAGGCCTCCTGGTTGCTGGACTGATCAACCAGGCTGTTGGACGCGGCTGCTCGCAGCCTGACGTATGCGATCAGACGTATATGTGAATGAGTTGGGGTTGGCATAGAGCAGCCTCATGTGGCCCAATAGGCCTTTTGCCGTTGCTTTTTATTCTTATGTTCATGTGTTCTTATAAACTGTGTGCACTGAAGAGCATCTGTAGTGACAGTTATTGCAAGTCCTTCAGAACTGTAGTAACATGTGTACTAGAACAATGAGCAAGATGTCATTTACTAAAGGACAAGCACACTTATGAGTAGTAGTATTACTTGTAGTAAAAGTTTAAAGCTGTGTACAGATTAATGAGTTCTGAACATAGAACTAGAGGGAAGTAGCCAGAATTTTGTTTACAAAGTTTCACTAGTGCTGCTATTGAAATTAAGGCAGCTTTCTTCAGCAAATACTGTGTTATGAAATAAACATTACAATACCTTACTTTGCGGTTACCTTGTGAGGATTTCGGGGCTCAACGTCCCTGTGGCCCGGTCCTCGACCAGGCCTTCTGGTTGCTGGACTGGTCAACCAGGCTGTTGGACGTGGATACATACTGGATACATAGGCCAGGCTGGAGTATGTATCACAGTTTGGTTGATCAGGTATCCTTTGGAGGGGTTTATCAAGTTCTCTCTTGAGCACTGTGAGAGGTCGGCCAATATAGATAAGATTTCATATATTTAAATTACACTTTGTATTAAACACAGAAATCACAATTGCGTGATGCATCAAATGAACAAATCCTCGTCACGGCCCTTGTGGATTTATTCAATGGCACTACTAATTTTTACTTTCATTTGAAAAGAGTGTAAGTTCTATTTGCAAAAGACATTCAATGCTTACATTTGTTTAAATTTTCAGGCACAAAAATGGACCTGAGAGAAGATAAAGAAACCCTAGCACTCTTATCTGACCAGGGACAATCACCAGTTAAACGGGAAGCAGGCCAAAAACTAGCAAATAAAATCAGAGCTGTGAAATACATGGAATGCTCAGCATTAACACAACGAGGACTTAAGCAGGTATTACTGTTATTCTATTGAATACATTACAAACTACAGTACTTGGCATCCTATTAACACTTATATTTGTAATTGTCTATGTAGCTGAAATGAACAATTGTACAGATTGTGTCTGTAGAGTGTCAAGATTATTGTGACATAAAGTTAATACCGGCAGCTCTCAGTTGGTACTGGCATTAAATTAACTTTCTGTATAAACTGATAATTTTGCATATTAAACAAATGGATGATGGTAGACTGATGAAAGTATGTGTTTTAGTGAATTTGAGGGTAGGAGTAAAAGAGGAAGTCGAGGATGAGTGAAGAAGTTGGGAGTGAGTGCGGACAACACAGAATATTGCATGAGACAAGATTAGGGGAAAACAGCTTATAAGAAGGGAGTGAATGTAGTTGTAATGCACAGTATATAACACTTCACAAAGCCCACTTGACATCTGGTCTTGTGAAGTAAGACTGCTGGAGTGAGGTAGTTTTTGTTTATCTGTGATGCTCAATTTTGCATTCTGAATTACTATTACCTGGTTGATGAGGTTCTGGGAGTTCTTCTACTCCCTGAGCCCGGCCCGAGGCCAGGCTTGACTTGTGAGAGTTTGGTCCACTAGGCTATCATTTACCTTTTTCTGAATTGATGTGTCCCCTCCCTAGGAAAGTAGGAACTAGGGTAATAATATGATATTTGATATATAGTTATTTTTTGTAATAGGTATACTGTTTATTATGTTTACTAGGCCATCCTCAAATATGGTCTCTCAAATAAGCATGGCTTTAATAATGGTGTTTTAACATATTTGCTCTGCTTGCCAGGTATTTGACGAAGCTGTGAGGGCAGTGCTGCGGCCAGAACCCATGAAGAGAAGACAGCGCAAGTGCTCGGTCCTCTAAGGTTGACACGCTGGCTAGTCTCTCACTACTCTCTCTCAATGCTGTCTCCCCCATTCTGCCTCAGATCCCCAGTCAAGCGAGTATTAAGTCAGGTGTCTGCGCCCCTTTTCCAACTGAAAGCAATATTTATGACCAGATAGGCTGTTTTCACCGTTGGTGTTTTTTGTAAACCTGGGTTTTATGTTTTTCACACATTGTTATATTTGGCCTTAAATTTTCCAGCCATGTTTGGTCAAATGCGTGATTCATTTTTTATTATGTAAAGTATAATAAGCATTATAGGAAATGATGTGCAGCAGTGCTTAAAATGGTGTTGCTAGCTGGAAGTTGACTTAGAATATTGGGATTTTTTTAATTTTTATTTTTTATTTTTTTATTTTTTTTGGGGGGGGGGGAAGAACACAAAACTCATAGGAATTAATCCAATATTGTATGTATGGGTGTATGTACAAGTGTACATATGTGTGTGCGTGCATGTAAGCATATCTTTGTGTGTGCGAGTCATTCTATTTGAGCAGCAGCTGCTTACTGATATAATTCTATCTTTGGGTACCAAGAAGAGCTTATTCCTATTTATTGTTATCAAGAACATTCTAGAATGCACAGTCGCATCTACATTATTAAGAGATAACATATACAATATATATATATAATATATATATATATAATTGTTCTGGTTAATATTCTTTGTATTGGTACTTCATGCATTTACTTGTCCTGAAACGAAGCCTTTATAGTTTTGTACTCATATGACATAAATATTCAAAACAGCTCACAAAAGGCTTGGAATGGGTTATTTTGGATTTTACATTATTGACACGCTCGTTTCTCATAAGAAATCCTGGGCTAACGTGAATAGCAACTGCTTTACAAAATACCTGTGATAATAGAGGAATCGGTATTGGCCTGGCAGCACATTACAGGGTTTTGATTGGCTCTTCTCATACATAATTTGTATTTCAGAGTTTTTAATAGTTAATACTGTAAATAATTCAAGGTTCCAAGATCTTTGAATGTCCTGGATAATTGAGGTATTTGCATAATATCTACACATCGCAAAATAAGCCTTCTTTGGCCCCTTGAACCAGGAAACGGCCTTCCTCCACACACCTTGTTTATGCCCTGCACTTGCCTATCTCGGTTCTCAAGGGGGGGTTCTAAGGTTCTAGTTCTGGGTTACATGGAGTCCCAACAGAATTGCAGCTCAAACTTACCAGATTCTAGAAAGCTGCCTTGTGTCACACCACAGGCAGTAGTACAGTGCGGCGTCAAAGATTCAGAGCTTGGCACACTGTTGACTAGATGCAGCAGCTCTTTCTGTTCACAGTATTTTAAAATTAGGGTGCCGAGTTTTATTTTATGCTTGATCTTGGATCTTTTTCGTGGGTTTACAGTGTACAATGATGACAATTACTAAAGCATTAATATAATTTTTTTTGGATGCTTTTCACTCTTAAATTTTAGAATTCTTTAAACTGTTAATCTTTTCTCTTAATTGTTTAGATTCTTTAGTTTGTGAGATGGTAGCTAAGCGGAATTAAGTTGTTCCCTTTATTTATGGAAAATGTGTAAGTTTTGGTATGTCTTTATTTATATCATTACTTTTACTTTGCTTGAGTTACCAAGCTATCATTTCCCCGCTTAAGATTACCTTAGCATATGAGGTATGATAACTGCAGGGTTCATCTTGCAGAATGATCGTCCACACTGCTAGCGTTAGAGCTGGGTGGTAGTCGCAAGGGTCAGTGTCTAACCCCATGGTGCTCCTGTGTCATTATCATATTTTTCTTACTCTTGCATTGATGCTCTCTCTCTCTAATGATAGTACAACCTGTCATGTAGATTTTAAACGATATTTTTTCTGCCTAGCTTCACGACACTGGGTGGAAGTGTCAAAACGGGAAGAAATGAATTGAATGCAGTCTTGTTGTGGCAAAGGGAACTGGTTGCAGAACTTCATAGTACTGTATGTACTGCAAGTATTGGCGTGCTTACTGCTAATTGTTAAGCACAAGGCTACGGACACATTGTAGTTGCAATGTACTGTATGGCCAAAAACAGCTCTTATGATTTATTTTGTCGGCTACAGTCAAATTTAATTAAATAAAAGTGGTTTGTCTTAAAAAGTTTTGTTTTAACCATTTGCCTACATTAATATAAAATTTTGCATTACTAAAATTACTTGATGCAATAAATAAATAAATAATATATATGTATATATATATTTTATTTATTTATTTATTTATTATAATAGAACCTGTTGGCTTAACACATTTGATATTGAAATATACTCAGTTCTTTGCCTAGTCTATCAGAGTTTTACATTTGCTTTACTACAATGTAATAAAGGCAAAAATGAAAAGATGTTGGCAATCTTGATGTTTAAATCATTTTGATAAAATTGTCTTTGGTATCAGATTTTGGGGGTTGTTGCACATCATTCTGTCAGTTCCTCTCAAATCCTGTATTGTAATCCCATATTATAATATAAGATTATTTTTATAATTCTTATGTTATTTATAATGACGGATGACTTGTGTACATTTTACTTATGATTCACCGCAAGTAATAACAAATCATTTTCTTTTGCACTTATTCAAGGCACTTGAATGTTAAAGTTTGGACAGATAATATTTCTTACTGCTAGTCTATTCACCAGTGTATAGCATTTAAGATTAGTAAAATATAAAGTCATGGTATTGGAGACATAAGATTTCTGATCAGTTGCTTCAGTACTATACCCAATATCAGTATGCATTGACTGTCCATGTGATTGTGGATGTGGTGATCTGTAACCAGTTCATTCATTGCCTACACCAGGGGCCAGATTCATGAAGCAGTTACGCAAGCACCCACAAACCTGTACATCTTTTCTCAATCTTTGGCGGCTTTGTTTACAAATTTTAAACAGTTAATGAGCTCCGAAGCACCAGGAGGCTGTTTATAACAATACCAACAGTTGATTGGGAAGTTTTTATGCTTGTAAACTGTTTAATAAATGTAACCAAAGCCGTCAAAGATTGAGGAGAGATGTACATGTTCGTAAGTACTTGCGTAACTGCATCGTGAATCTAGCCCCAGACGTGCTCAACCAGTACGACACTGAAGGTGGTTTAACGTAATGCTTGAACTGCGTGCATTCTATATCAAAATACCAAAGGTTTGTTGCTATTTCATAGAGGGTTTTTCTCAGAAGTCAAATTCTTTGCACTATTTACATCCAGAAATTATAAAATGCTCAACTATATGCATAATATTTGTAACTGAACACGAGGCACATCAGTTACTTACTTTACATGAGCTCTGGCATATTTATATGCTACACAACAGCATCATCACATTGTGGAATTTATTTCAAGAAAAATTGATTTGATTCTGTCTTACATGACTGCTCTGAAACTTGTGCTTTGAGGTCAAATTTTCCAAAAGAGCAGTAGGCACGTATTGCTTAAAAGGAAATTTGTTATTTTGATAATTATTGGATACTGAGGTACAGTTTTAGCAGTAATGCTGTTCTTTAATCACTTCTTAAGTTTATCACTGTAACAGACATTTAATTTGTCATCAGCAGAGGAATTGTGACTTATATTCAAGTTTGTAATATTGTAGGTAAACAAAGGCATTTTGTTGTGTGTAGTTAATGTACATTTTCTGTGTACAAGTGCCTGCATAAGAGTTTGAAGTAGTGATTACATATGCTTAGAATATATTCTTAAGTTTTTTTTATACTGAATTTTTGCTGCAGCTGTTACTTATTTAATTAGCAATGTAAAATATGAAGAAATTGCAAAATGCAAGGTTTTGTATCACATTGAAAGATTTTTTTTATTGAAGATCCTATTGTATTGTGATAGATATTCTTCAGTTTTATTTCTGAAAGATTAGTGATGGTTAAGCATTTGTTTATGCTTTATGATGTTTTGGGCAAGAACCAGCGGGTTCTCTTGAGAAAGTTGTTCTCGGTATTGACAAAATTGATATCCTAGCCTTCATGTGGGACTTAAGCCAAGCCTGTCAGATCAGGGGTAACTTAAAATTCAACGGGTGTCGAGATTCCCATCTTGACGCTCATATATTCGCTTAAGTATATACACAGAAACACACGCTTGTGCACGACTTGGTACACAAGCATGGAGGTGATGCGCTCTTAAATTTGTGATATTCCTCAATCTATAGCATTTCAATGAACATATATGATGTAGCAATGTTTCATTCATTTGCCTCGATTCCTATAGAAGTAGCATGTTAACAATATCAAGACTTGTTATTACGTTTTAAATCCCTGTACCTTACATGCACTTCTCTATTTTGTTCCAGATATCAAATATCATCATTGTTGCAGCAATAAAAATGAATTGTAGTTCCATTGTGATTGTGTAAACAAAACAGAGATGTGAAGAAATAGGCCATATGAGGACAGATCTCTAGTGTCGACTGTTTTCACTCTGGGTTTGTTGCATTTTTCTTTAAGATTGGAAAAAAGCTCATCAAAGGTAAAATATTGTCAACAGCAAAGACTTGTCCTATAATGTATTTCTTCACATTTATGTTGGCAGCTGTACATCAAAGAAAAGAAATACAAATATGCCCCTTTGGTATGTCTTATGATGTTTTGTGAATTTTAATTTATTCAGAATGTTGTGTGGTGTGTATTGCTGTTGCAGCAGAACTAATTTTATTTTATACCATCAAATGTGACCTATCCCCGTGGCCTTTCTCCTATCACCGAAATAGGGAGTGGGGAACCCATTTTACCGAGGTTATGTATGAGCCACACAAGATTAATTCATAGGCACTTAACCACTGTGTACAGACTGGAGCTGTGATCAAGTCTGCTGATGTATGGTTGCATCTGCGACTGCCCAAGGAATAGTGCTCTACGACTTGGGCTAGACGGTAGGGTGACGATCTCAATTCATGCGGGTCTGCGTTCAATCCCAGACAGTCTTAAGTGGTTGGGGACTATTCCTTTCCCCCGTTCCATCCCCAGTCCTCATCCTGATCCCTTCCAAGTGCTTTATAGTCGTAATGGCTTGGGGACTTTCTCCTGATAGTTCCCTTCCCTTTCCCTGCAGCTGCCAGAGGTCTCTGGTAACAGATTCTGTTTTAAGAAATTAGTCAAGTGCTCGGTAGCCACAGGGAAGTTGTAAAGATAACATGTCACCAACACCCATCTTGCCATGGGCACATTCATATACTCCTGGTATTTGATCAAACTGAATATTATTGGATTATTCAGTGTTATTTGTAAATGACAATAGGTTCTCCCTTGACAGAACAAACTTGAGATGGTAAACATTTTGGGAGGGAACAAATACATTGGTTGCATTGGAAAGGCAGAAGTTGGGTGAGGCCCCACATGGCTAGGGGATAAGGAATGACTCGCCCTCACTGCCACGATACATTTACACGTCCTCCTGACCCAAAGTACTTTCGCGCAACTAAAGATTAATTTTTGTTCAAAGTAATCTTTGCTTTTCAATAACTTTGAAAAAAAAATAGTTTTCAGTTGATATTGTTTTGTTGATAGGCTCCAGGGGTACATTTTTTTTTATCCCCTGACTCCCTCAACTGATTTTGTATGGTATTTCCAATGTTTTTATCTTTATTGTAAGCTAATCTTTGTGTTTTGCTGATTTTCCCAAACTTTCTGTCATTTTCACTAAATTCATGAGCAAATTATTGTTTTGTGTCAAAAAGGCTGCACTGGGAGAGGTAAAAAGGTCTGCTGAAAAGATGTCACGGCAGGAACATTGTCGTGAACACAGATCGGCTTCCTACTGTCAGAATTGCATTGTTCCACTTAGCCACTCGTCTAGTAGAATGTCCTGATTTTCCGGATGAATGTAAATTTTTACATTCTCACTGATTCCATGTATCACATCCCGATAAAATCTTCAGCAAGTTCGACTCCTTTAACATCGATCATCTCGTGTCTTTCGGCTCTCATATTTTATCCCAGGTTGGATCTAGGAACTCTGAATATTCTAGAGTTGTTTAATGCTGCTATACACTGTAGTTGTGCTAACTTACCATCTTTGACTTTGGGGCAGTGCTGGTGGCATGTGGTCTGAGACAACTTGATGCAGAGGGAGTAGCTATATATACAAAAAAATAGCTTGATGCGTTAACCAAACACCTCTTAGTGATTGTCGTCCTACATGGTTGTGACAAGCACTGCAGTTGTCATTTTATAACTTAATGGAACACAATTGATATGTAACAGTAAAAAGTTCACCACCATATAATGAACTTTGTAAATTACTTTTTTTTTTTGGTAATTCAGCCATCATTGGTGCACTCCACAAACCCAGAACTAAGTTTTGTCAATGTCCATGTCTTGCATTTCTTAAAATATATCAAAATTATAAGCTGTGAATTAAAACTAGGAAAATTTACTTCAATACTGTCTTGGGGACACCACACATGTTATATATTTACATAACTTTACAAACAACCATAGAATATGGAAGCCCTCTGGCAGTGAGCGAGAACATGAGTGCATGTTCTTAAATTGTACATTTATTAGTTTGTGTGTTAAGTCAAAGCTTGTATTTGTATTTAGGAAGTCATTGGCATAGATAAATGTTCAATTTTGAGACTTTAAATTATTTTGATTTCTAATATTGACTTGATTATATACAATGGTAAGAGCATGCTACATGTGACTGCCGTTTTGTAATTCCTAAAACCTACGAAGCTTGTTTGTTATATCTCCTTTAGGTAATGTATTACGTTGCCATGTTGACAGTAGTACTGTACTGTATAGATAAAACACAAAGGTAACTGTTGACGTCTAATACTCGGCTGGTGGCCAAAAGTTTTTTACCATCTCTAATTATTTCAACATTATTTTTTTTTTTTTTCTGTAACTTGTAGGTCACATTGCAGCTTCTCATTCCTCAAATTAACAAGGTTATGTTTGTGTCTTACAACAGAACGTGCTTCAGAATATATAAACTCGCCTATAATTCTCAGTCAGAATAATAGGTACCTTTAGCTTTTCTTTTATGCTAATGAGGCTTCCACAATATTATTTTAAAGCTTAATGTTAGCCTGGTAGATTTAAGGACTTTAAAGATGTGCCTCTAGAAACTTTTGTAATGTAAATCAACAGAAAATAAGC